CCGCGCGTCAAGGGGGGGGGGTACTGTCACGGTTTCGGCCGAGGCTGCTCCTTCTCCTTGTTCGGGCAGGCTTCGGCGGTCGTCGTCTCCGGAGTACTAGCTGCCACCGTTCTATGTTTCATGTTCGTTTGGTTTTGTCTCTTTGTAACACCTGTCCCTTGTTTGTGTTTGATTGTGTTCCCTATTTAGTTTCGTGTGTTTGGGTCAGGTGTTATGCGTGATTGTTTATTGTCAGCCTGCCTCCGAGGAGTTTGTATATCTCGTTGTTGTTTTCGAGAGTTCGCACTGCGTGCGCTTTTTCTTGTTTTTTTTCCGCACTGTGTTTGTGCGTAATTGTTCGCGCCGCCCGGTTGGGTTGGCGACTCATTGTTCATGTGTTGGACCTTACTAAAGTCTGTTGAAGTCATCCTGGTTCCTGCGCTTGATTCCTTTCACTCATCCACACACAGCACTCTGACATGATATCATTTTCAAATACCTGAAAGTGAGGGGTTGTAATCTGAATAAAGGGAAAAAGTCCCTTCTTGAACATTGGGTGAGACGATCATACCAGTTTGCTAGAGAACCAGTTCGGATTTAAGTATAATTTTTGTATGACTGAAGCTTTTAGTGATAGGTATAATGCTTTAATATTTAATAATTTCTGTCCTCCTAATTCATATTCATTATATAAATAAACCCGTTTAATTTTGTCTGGCTTGCCATTCCAAATACAATGGAATATTCTTTACTCACATAATTTAAAAAACTGTTCGATAGGCATAGGCAAGACCATAAGCAAATAGGTAAACTGGGATAATACTAAAGAGTTAATCAGGGTGATTTTTCCACAAATTGACAGGTATTTACCTTTCCATGGTAGCAAGATCTTATCTATTTTTGCTAACTTTCTATTACATTTTTTTGGAGTGAGATCATTTATTTAATTTGGAATATGTATTCTGAGTATATCCACATCACCATCAGACCATTTTATTGGTAAACTACATGGTAATGTAAAAATTGTATTTTTTAGTGATCCAATACATAATATAGTACATTTATCATAATTTGGTTGTACTCCAGAGAGGTTAGAAAATGTATCTAGATCCTCTATGAGGCTGTGGAGGGATTCAAGTTGTGGATTTAAAAGAAAACATGAATCATCAGCGTACAATGACACCTTTGTTTTTAAGCCCTGGATTTCAAATCCCTTGATATTATTGTTGGATCTGATTTTAATAGCTAACATCTCGATGGCAATAATAAATAGATATGCCGATAGTGGACAACCTTGTTTCACTCCCTCTTGACAGTTTAAAACTTTCCCATAATGTCAAGCAAAGAGGCACTGAGTTTGAAGGTAGGCCTTGAAATACATCCACAGGTACACTTCCAATTGACTGAAATTATGTCAATTAGCCTATCAGAAGCTTCTAAAGCCATGACATCATTTTCTGGAATTTTCAAAGCTGTTTAAAGACACAGTCAACTTAGTGTATGTAAACTTCTGACCCACTGGAATTTTGATACAGTGAATTATAAGTGAAATAATCTGTCTGTCTTGTTGGAAAACGTACTTGTGTCATGCGCAAAGTAGATGTCCTAACCGACTTGCCAAAACTATAGTTTGTTAACAAGAAATTTGTTGAGTGGTTGAAAAACGAGTTTTAATGACTCCAACCTAAGTGTATGTAAACTTCAACTGTATTTCTTCATTCCATTCTTTTACTTTTAGATTTGTGTATTGTTGTGAATTGTTAGATACTACTGCGCTGTTGGAGCTAGGAACACAAGCATTTCGCTACACCCGCAACAACATCTGCTAAATATGTGTATGTGACCAATAAAATGTGATTTGATTTATTAAATACAGCTCCTCACCCTCCTTTGTCTTGAAACACTTTTTTCATATATTTGAGAATCTAAGGAGACATAACATATCAGGAATGTATATAACACAGTTTTTTGCACAAACCGCCATTTGAACGGAGTGTATGACGTATGAATTCTGAGCTAAACTGTGATGAGGTGTGAATGAAGGAGTCAGGCGCAGGAGGTAAAACACTGAAGTCCAGAGTTTATACCGTTTACATAAATAAAACGCACCAAGCGTCAAAATGAAACTATCACAAGGGAAATATTCCACCTTGGAAATAACAAATGGAAGAGTAGCTCAACCGAGCTACTCACTCTCACAATGAAACAATCACTCACAAAGACAAGGGGAACAGAGAGAACACTTATACACATACTAATTAGGGGAATGAGCACCAGGTGTGTGTGATTGACAAGACAAGACATGACAAGTGGAGTGATGAGAATGGGATCGGCAGTAGCTAGTAAGCCGGTGACAACGAACGCCAAAACCTGCCCAAACAAGGAGGGGAGGCAGCCTCGGTGAAAGTCGTGACAGTACCCCCCCCCCCCTCCACTTGACGCGCGGCTCCTGCGGGGACGGCCAGGAGGACGCGGAGCAAGGCGAGTCGGATGGCGACGGTGGAAATCCCTCAACAAGGAGGGATCGAGGATGTCCCTCCTTGGGACCCAGCACTGTTCCTCCGGAGCATACCCCTCCCACTGCACGAGATACTAAAGGCCCCCACCCGACGCCTCGAATCCAGTATGGAACGGCCCGAGTACGCCGGGGCCCCCTCGATGTCCAGAGGAGGTGGAGGAACCTCCCGCACCTCAGACTCCTGAAGCGGATCAGCTACCACCGGCCTGAGGAGAGACACATGAAACGACAGGTTAATACGGTAATTAGGGGGGAGTATCAACCTGTATGTAACCTTGTTTATCCTCCTCAGGACTTTAAAACGGCCCCATAAACCGCGGGCTCAGCTTCTGGCAGGGCAGGCGGAGGGGTAGATTCCGGGTCGAGAGCCAGACCCGATCCCCAGGTACGAAAACCGGGGCCTCCCTGCGGTGGTGGTCAACATTCGCCTTCTGACAACGCACAGCGCGCTGGAGGCAAACGTGGGCAGCATCCCAAGTCTCCTCCGCGCCGAAACCAGTCATCCACCGCAGGAGCCTCGGTCTGGCTCTGGTGCCACGGTGCCAGGACCGGATGGTAACCCAAAACACATTGGAAGGGTGTTAGGTTAGTGGAGGAGTGGCGGAGAGAGTTCTGCCCATGGCAGGAACACCGACCACTCCCCCGGCCGGTTCTGACAGTAGGTCCGCAGGAACCTACCCACATCTTGATTCACCCTTTCCACCTGCCCATTATTCTCGGGGTGAAATCCAGAAGTCAGGCTGACCGAGACCCCCAGAAGTTCCATGAACGCCTTCCAGACTCTAGACGTGAACTGGGAACCTCGGTTGGACACTATATCCTCTGGTACCCCGTAGCGCCGGAAGACGTGAGTAAACAGAGCCTCCGCAGTTTGTAGGGCCGTGGGGAGACCGGGCAGAGGAAGGAGGCGGCAGGACTTCGAAAAGCGATCCACAACGACCAGGATAGTGGTGTTACCTTGGGAGAGGAGAAGATCAGTAAGAAAATCAATACTAAGTTGAGACCATGGTAGTTGTAGAACTGGTAAAGGTTGTCGCTTACCCACTGGGAGGTGCCTAGGTGCCTTACTCTGGGCGCACACTGAGCAGGAGGAAACATACACTCTCACGTCCTTAGCCAAGGTAGGCCACCAGCACTTCTCGGTCAGGCAGCGCATTGTACGACCGATACCTGGATGACCAGAGGAGGGTGACGTGTGTGCCCAGTAGATCAGACTTTCCACCGTGGTCGCACCAACGGAAACACCTAGACACCTACCCGGACACTCACGCGACCACCCCGTAAGAACCCTCTGCGGCCATGAAAAATTGGGGTTGTGAAGGGCTAACCACGGAATACCTAAGACTACAGAGTAAGCAGGAGACTCAATAATCAAAAAAGTGATCTGCTCAACATGCGTCTCCTATGTAATCATGGTGACTGGTACAGTAACCTCCTTAACCAACCAGAGTCGTCCGGAGTGGGAACGGGCAGACCCCTACCAGGACTTCCTCTGGCTGCTAGCAGATTGTCCAGCCGGATGGTAATGTCCACCAGTTGGGAGAACGATAGCATGGCATCACGGCAGGCTAGCTCCCATCGGACGTCCTCCCTTAGGTGGCACCGGAAATGGTCGATCAGGGCCCGCTCGTTCCACCCGGACCCCACTGCCAGCGTCCGGAACTCCAGCGCGTAGTCCTGTGCGGTCCTCGTCCCCTGCCTTAGATGGATCAGTCGTTCACCTGCCTCTCGACCCTCAGGCGGGTGATCGAAAATGGCCCAAAAGAGGCGAGCAAACTACCTGTAGTCCTCCAAAGCGGCGCCTCCCTCGTTCCACACCGCATTGGCCCACTCCAGGACTCTCCCACAAAGGCAGGAAACGAGGACGGATACCTTCTCCCGCTCCAGTGGTGCCGGCCTCATGCTGGAGAAATACAACTCTAGTTGGAGCAGAAATCCCTTACATCGCGCTGCCGTCCCATCAAACGCCAGTGGCCGGGATATCTGGATCCCTCCATGGGCTGGGGTGTAGGTGGCTGGATCCGGTTGACCAGCTGGTCTCGATAGATCGGGTCCTCTCCTCTCCAGGTGTTGTACTACGGGAAATATTCCACCTTGGAAATAACAAATGGAAGAGTAGCTCAACCGATGAAGAAATCACTCACAAAGACAAGGGGAACAGAGGGAACACTTATTTACATACTAATTAGGGGAATGAGTACCAGGTGTGTGTGACTGACAAGACAAGACATGACAAGTGGAGTGATGAGAATGGGATCGGCAGTAGCTAGTAAGCCGGTGACGACGAACGCCGAAACCTGCCCGAACAAGGAGGGGAGGCAGCCTCGGCGGAAGTCGTGACATACACATGCATTTCAAAATGTGTGCTTAGCTACTCACCGTCTGTGGATCAGGCTGTGTCTTGTTGCCACATGTTTCCCCACATCTCCATATATTATGGAGGTCATGGGCCACAGCCAGCACCCCTTTATAGACATTATTAAAGATAGCCATTAGAGACAGATCAGGTGAAGATGTTCTGCAGCCCAGAGAGATCAGTGATGTTCTCCAGCCCAGACAGATCAGTGAAGATGTTCTGCAGCCCAGACAGATCAGTGAAGATGTTCTGCAGCCCAGACAGATCAGTGAAGATGTTCTGCAGCCCAGACAGATCTGTGAAGATGTTCTGCAGCCCAGACAGATCTGTGAAGATGTTCTGCAGCCCAGACAGATCTGTGAAGATGTTCTGCAGCCCAGACAGATCAGTGAAGATGTTCTGCAGCCCAGACAGATCAGCGAAGATGTTCTCCAGCCCAGACAGATCAGCGAAGATGTTCTACAGCCCAGACAGATCAGTGAAGATGTTCTACAGCCCAGACAGATCAGTGAAGATGTTCTGCAGCCCAGACAGATCAGTGAAGATGTTCTCCAGCCCAGACAGATCCGTGAAGATGTTCTGCAGCCCAGACAGATCAGTGAAGATGTTCTGCAGCCCAGACAGATCAGTGAAGATGTTCTGCAGCCCAGACAGATCAGTGAAGATGTTCTACAGCCCAGACAGATCAGTGCAGATGTTCTGCATCCCTGCCTGTACACTCTGAGTCTGACCCCTCTCTGACTCTGACCTCTCATCCTGCCTGAAGCGACAGTCAAACAGAGCCTCCCAGAACTTAGTGAACAGGCTGCTGTCAATGCCGGAGGAGTTAAAGGGCCTCACATCCAGGATGAACTCCCCTAGCCCTGCGACGTGGGCTTTGGCGATGGACAGGCCTATGGCTCCGTTCAGGACGTGGTGGCTCTCCACCCTTGCGATGTAGGAGTCAATGATCCAGCCCTTGGAGCCCACCCACTTGTAGCCTGTCCAATTGTGTCGGGCAAATCTAGGTCCAGGAATGAGAGGAAGGTGACACTGACCTTGGATTTGGGCGTCTTGATGCCCTCTATGACCCTCTGCAGCTTCTCCTCCAGGTCTGTCCTGTAGAAGGCCACAGAGTACTCCAGACAGATCCCCAGCTGCTCTGGCGTCTCAGTGAACATGGCCATGCCATTGTTGCCATAGTCGTCGTTGGTTCGGATGGCACCCACCCAGGTCCAGCCAAAGTGCTTGACCAGCTGGGCCAGGGCTCTGCTCTGGTAGAAGTCACTGGGGATGGTTCTGAAGAAGGAGGGGTACTTGACTTTGTCACTCAGACACCCATATGTAGCAAAGCGGCTGATCTGAGGATAAAAATGACACAGGAGTCACAATAAACAACCAATTAGGACTTACAACTATCTACCTACAGTATAAGAATAGATAACATATCCAAATACTCTTAGTTATTTTTGGGAAAAAGCCTTGGTCAAAAGGTTGTTCATGACTACCAACGAGCATGTTTTGAGTTAATTAACATCTTAATAAAACATCTTAATGCACTGATGCCCTCTTGACTCCTAACCCTTCCCACTGCCTACCATTGGGATATGGAAAGGTCCGAGGATGGTAGCAGTGGCCACGCTGAGTGAGGAGGAGTCCTCCCCCATGATGGCCTGAACCTGGGCTGATCTGGAGCAGCCTTGCTCCTCTGAGGCTGTATCCCGGTTCCCGTTAGCCAGGGCCAGGGCCACCTTCACCTCCCTGGCTATGGAGCCACACGAGTCATAGATCTTATGGCCATAGAGACACCGGGCAGCAGGACTGTGCTTTTGTTGATCTGCTCTATGGAAAACAGCATAACCTGGCAGGTGTTATGTTCATTATGTTCCCTGACTAAAATGAACAATATCGTTGTGCTATAAATATTGGAAATAACATTTTAATATAAATTGTTCTAGAGATACGTTATTGAAACTGATAGTTGTTGATTACTGTAATAAAAAATAAGGAATTCCTAATTTTCTGACATCTGTATATTATTATTGAAAACTAACCCATAGAATTTTTCCCTGATTTTCAATATTATGCCAACCCCATCCCTGCTAATAGTTTACCTGGTGCACTTATTTTGCAGTTTACCTGGTGCACTGCAGAGGTGGTGGGCTCTGTGTGTAGTTCAGCTCTCTGTTCTGCCAGCTGCTGTGGAATGAAAAGATGCCTCCTAGAATGATGTCTCCGCCCTTGGCCAGCTGGGGGGTACTCTGGTCCTCCTCTCCACCTGCACACCACCAGGCCCTCTGGAAAGTTACAGGCATATTTAATGTGACTTGATTCAGCAGTCACACTTTAAACCTTGTACTTGTTTACTTACAGTGTAGTTGTTATACTTTGGAACACTACTCCTCTTACACATTTAAGCTAGAAATGCCATTCAAACTTTAAAACATGCAGACTGTTCTGGAATAGAGTGCTTAAATATAACTTTTTTAAACTATTTGTACTTTTTAAACTATTAAGCTTTTTGTCCTCCTAAAAAACCTCCATCCGCTTTAATGGGATTTCTTCAACCTTCTAAAGCTCCCTTTGTTGATAAAAGGCAGAATCTACCGCACACCCAGAGCTGATCAGAGAAGGTGTCGGAGGCTAAAGGCAAAACTGGAGAAACAGGAAAAAGTCTGCACACTTCCAGTCAGATGCAAAAAAACATTTCATTCTAGCTGCGCTTTTGGTCAGTTGACCTCCATCAAAGCTCCAATTGTTAAAAACTCTATTTTTTAAGGCTGCTTTATACTTGGTCTATCGACATGTCTGTAGAGAGTGACATCATTAATATTATATTGTCGGCCGACATCAAACTTGTCGTTGTCGTTATGAAAAAGTATAAACACACAAAACGACAGGAAAATAAACTCACAACAAGATCATTATTTACAAGGTAATGGCAGGCTAATAACAGAAAATTGTGGGATGAAATAAAAGCAGGGTATTCTACCGAATAATTGTTGAACTTCTGCACTGTCTCGATGCTGTTGCAGGCAGGTAACCATGACAACTGATGCTGCGACAGGGTCAAAGTTGAATTTTTGTTAATGTGTCTGCGACAAATGAAACCGACAGTCACATTCTAATTGTCTACAGACATGTCGTTAGACCAAGTATAAATCAAGCTGTGACTTCCAACATTCTTCACTGTAAACACTGTGACTTTTGACACAAATCAGCTACCCACTGGGCACACACTGGTTCAATCAACACTATTTCCACTTCATTTCAATGAAATTACATTAAATCAATGTGGAATAGACGTTGAATTGATGTCTGTGCCCAGTGGGTACTTTGACCACTTTCCCAAAAATTTAGACAACAATTTACACAGTATGAGATCTTAATCTATTTCTCTGCTATTTAAATCTGACATATCCATATATCTATTACCAATCAAATAATACAATTGTTTTAGTAACAACATCAACTACTTTTTCTCTCAACTTTTAAAAACAACTGAACGTTTGACCACTTTCCCAACAATTTAGACAAAAAATTAGAGCATATGAAATATTGGCAAGTTTATATTGTATTCAAATCTGAACTCAGAACTAGAAATAATTTCTACCAATCAAGAGGTGCAGATGTTTTAGTAACCATGTGAATTACGTTAATTAAAGGAATAGTTTACCCAAATTACAAAATTACACATTGGCTTCCTTACCCTGTAAGCAGTCTATGGACAAGGTGTGACAGCAATCAATGCTTTGGTTTAGTTTCCACATGCTAAGATTTTAGCATTCGTGGCACAATTCCCATTCAAGTCATGGGACCGACATAAGCATTTTTCCAAATCATCGGAAAGTATCTAAAATGTATTATGAATCTCAACAAAGTCACCTATATATGATTTGAACATAATGCATGAAAAATTCAAATATTGGTCCCATTACTTGAACGGGATTTGTGCCACAAATGCTATAATGTTAACATGTGGAAACAGTGCCAGGGAAACTAAACCAAAGCATGGATTGCTGTCATACCTTGTCCTTAGACTGCTTATAGGGTAAGGACACCACTCATTTTGTAATTTGGGTGAACTATCCCTTTAAGATAATCTTCCAATATTGAATTAACTGCCAAGGAACTTTCAGAAATGTCAAATTATAGCACTGGGGGAAGACAATTCTAAGAATGTTAGTCAATAATGTGACTTTTTACACAAATCCGCTACTTTTACCACCTTCCCAACAAGTTACACACACATTTAGAAGGTATGACATCTTAATTTACTTCTCTGCTATTCAAATCTGAAATCAGATCAGAAATATATTCTACCAATCAAACGATACAGCTGTTTTAGTAACCGCATCAACTGCTTTCATTAAGCTAATTTATTCAGTCTGTAATCCAAACATTTTCAACCTCCCCTTGTCCCAGTCTGTAATCCCAACATTTTCAACCTCTCCTTGTCCTAGTCTGTAATCCCAACATGCTGACCACCATTATTCCTGTTCCCAAGAACTCTAAGGTAACCAGCCTAAATGAGTATCGCCCCGTAGCACTCACATCTGTAATCATGAAGTGCTTTGAAAGGCTGGTCATGGCAAACACTCTAATTACATTTTTTAAAAATCACACTGATTCTATGCACACAGCACTCTATCCACAAATTCAAACACACTTACACTCTCGCACACACACACACACACACACACACACACACACACACACACACACACACACACACACACACACACGCGCGCACACACACTTTCACACATGTACACATTCGCTCATCATATACGCTGCTGCTACTGTTTAATAGTTTATTATTATTATTATTATTATTATTATTATTATTATTATTATTATTATTATTATTATTATTATTGTTATTATTATTATTGTTATTATTGTTATTAGTATTGTTATTATTATTGTTATTATTATTATTGTTATTATTATTGTTATTATTTGTAAGGGATCGGGGGTTGGCTGGGTCTAGGCAGAGTCTGACACTTCCCCGATCTACAGAGAGGGGGAGTCATCAGACTCGATCTGGTTCACCTGAGTTCTGAGCACACCTGTCAGTAATTAGTGTAGGATATAAGGTGTGCTCAGAAGTTCAGTCGGTGCGAGGTATTGTTCCATTGTGACTTGCTAAGCGTTTTGTTCCGAGAGACAGAGTTTGTTGTTTTTGATTACCCGTGTATCCGACCTGTGCCTTGTTGTTTGACTCCCCGAATTGCTTAATCCTCTGCTTGTCTACCCCAGTGATTACCGTCCTCTGATCCTGTGTCTGTGACCTCGACTACGACTAAGCCCGCTCCCTTGGTACCTCTGCCTGTCTCTGCCTGGCCCGGTTTTGACCACAGCCCGCCCGACCACGATTAAGCTATTCCCTTGTCTGTACTCCAATAAAGCATCGCTATTCTGCGATTGGATCTTACCACTCTGTCCGAGTATTCATTACAGAATACCTCGCATATACCATGGATCCAGCGGAATTACAGAGGCGATGGGAGATACAGGAGAAACGGATGGATGAACTCCTGCAACTACTCAACGCTGGTGCGGCTGAGGGCACCACCCCAAGCACGGTCAGTCCTCGTCATGCACCTCCGATTTCTCTACCGACAAGGTACGACGGGGAACCTGGCAAATGTCAGGGGTTTCTACTCCAGATGTCCCTGTATATGTCGTATAATCGTACTATGTTTCCCGATGACCGTAGCAGGGTGGATTTCATGATTTCTCTGCTAACGGGAAGAGCACTGGATTGGGCTACTGCGCTTTGGGCAGCTGAGGTCCCCGAGTTGAATGCGGAAGTTCAGTTCAAAATACTGTTCCAAGAGGTGTTCGACCACCCAGTATCTGGGCGTAGTGTGGGAGACCAACTATGCGAACTTCAGCAGGGCCGTCGCACAGTAGCCGACTACGCTTTGGAGTTCCGTACTATAGCAGCCGGTAGCGGATGGAGCGAGACTGCTTTGCTCACTGTTTTCCGAAGAGGGCTGCGCAAAGACGTACAGACTGAGTTGGCTTGTCGAGGAGATATCACTGTGCTACATGAGTTTATCAAAATAGCCATCTCTATTGATAATCTGATAGTGCAACATAAGGTATCCACAGTCCGGGAGCCCTCGTCACTGGTTCTACGCAATCGACAGAGCGGAGGAGAGAATCTGAGGAGGAACCTATGCAACTGGGACGGTCACCCCTACAAGATTCGGTGAGACAACAACGTCGGCAAGACGGACTATGCCTGTATTGTGGTCAGTCGGGTCATTTCTTTCGTCAATGTCCGGTACGCCCAAACCGTAACCCAGGATATCGCCTCGGAACTGCCAAACCGGTGAGTGAGACTCAAGTGTTCAACATTACATCTAAACAAATGTATGTGCCAGTTACCTTATCGGTCGGAGAGAAAGTGCGCAGGTTGGAGGGTCTTATTGATTCCGGAGCGGCTGCCAGTTTTCTGGATATGGGTCTCGCTGAGGAATTGGGAGTTCAACTTATCCCCATTCAACCTCCCCTGCGAGTCAACGCGCTAGACGGTGAGCCCATGGGCACTGGGTTCATTACGCAACGTACTGAGGTAATCAAGTTACAAGTGGGCTCCATACACCATGAGGACATCATTTTGTTCGTCATCTCCGCTCCACGGGAGCCGCTAGTTCTCGGCCACCCCTGGCTCGTCACCCATGATCCGGTAATCTCCTGGAAATCTGGCGATATCACCGCTTGGAGTGAGGTATGTAGGGCAGAGTGCCTCAAGTTACCTTGCAAAATGTCTACTGTGGAGGATGCGCAGGGTGCGGTGTCTACTGTTGTTCCAACAGAATACCAGGATTACGCGCAGGTGTTCTCCAAGGAGAGGGCTACCGTATTACCACCTCATCGGGCCTGGGACTGTGCGATTGATCTGCTATCCGGGACTACACCGCCTCGTGGAAGAATCTACCCGTTGTCACAGCCGGAACGAGAATCGATGAGCAAGTATATTGATGAGGCGCTACAGCAAGGGGCCATTCGCCCATCTACGTCTCCCGCCGCATCCAGTTTTTTCTTCGTGAAGAAAAAGGATGGCGGACTGCGTCCTTGTATAGACTATCGAGGTTTGAATGATATTACCATAAAAAATCGTTACCCTCTTCCGTTGATCCCAGGAGCCCTCGAGCAGGTGGGGCAGGCCTCTATCTACAGTAAACTGGACCTCAGGAGTGCGTACAATCTGGTGCGCATTAGAGAAGGGGATGAATGGAAGGCCGCCTTCATCACACATCGAGGACACTATGAATATTGTGTCATGCCCTATGGACTTACCAACGCCACGATTTCCTTCCTTGGGGCCATACTCACTCCCGACGGGGTTAAACTGGATGAATCCAACGTACAAGCGGTACAAGATTGGCCTCAACCCCAGACGGTGAAAGAGCTCCAGAGATTCTTGGGGTTTGCCAATTACTATAGACGGTTCGTGCGTAATTTCAGCACCACCGCCCTTCCTCTGTCGGCGATGACCAGCTACAAGGGTCGCGGTTTGAACTGGATGGAGGGGGCAGTGCGTGCGTTTGAAATGTTGAAGCAACGCTTTACCACCGCTCCTATTTTATGTCAGCCGGACTCTACCTTGCCGTTTATCGTGGAAGTGGACGCCTCGGAGGTTGGAGTGGGAGCCGTGTTATCCCAACGCCAAGGTGAGCCGCCTAAATCACGACCCTGTGCTTTCTTTTCAAGGAAACTGAATTCGGCCGAGCAGAACTACGACGTGGGTAATCGTGAACTACTGGCGGTGAAGTTAGCACTGGAGGAGTGGAGACATTGGTTGGAGGGAGCAGAGCATCCGTTCCAAGTGCTCACGGACCACCGCAACCTGGTGTATCTTCACAGTGCGAAACGACTGAACTCCCGACAGGCAAGGTGGTCTTTATTCTTCAACCGGTTCCGATTCACTGTCTCTTATATCCCCGGGTCCAAGAATGGTAAGGCGGACGCGCTTTCCCGACGGTTCGAGCGCGCGGAAAGACCCGTGGAACCAGAACCTATCCTCCCCAGGAGTTGCCGTGCTGGTCCTGTGAGGTGGGCTATCGATGACACTATTCAGGAGAGCCTACAATCGGAACCAGCCCCTCCAGAAACCCCGGAGTCAAAGGTGTTTGTACCAGCTCCGCTTCGACCTCAACTGATGGAATGGTGCCACACGTCGCTGGGATCTGGTCATCCCGGAATCACTCGAACTGCACGACTCATCAGCCGAAAATACTGGTGGGATTCCCTCACCGATGACGTCAGAGACTATGTCTTATCCTGTCCAGTATGTGCTCAGACCAAGGTACCTCGTGCACTACCGGAGGGTAAGCTGATGCCATTGCCAACTCCTCAACGACCCTGGTCGCATATTGCAATGGACTTTGTTACCGACCCACCAGAATCAGAGGGCCATACTGTAATTCTCGTGGTCATCGATTGTTTCTCCAAGATGTGCCGGTTAGTACCCATGACCCGTTTGCCTAACGCCACTCAGATGGCTGAGACTATGTTTACCCAGGTGTTCCGGCAGTTTGGTGTCCCGGAGGATATTGTTTCCGACCGGGGACCCCAGTTTGTATCCCGGGTATGGAAGGCCTTCTGCGAACGCTTGGGCATCTCGGTTAGCCTAACTTCCGGATATCATCCCCAGGCCAATGGGCAGACAGAACGGCTCAACCAGGAAATTGGGAAATATCTACGGCAACAATGTTCGCGGCAGCCGCAAGAGTGGAGCCGATTCCTTCCTTGGGTAGAGTATGCTCAGAACTCACTCATTCACACCTCCCTACGCCTAACGCCCTTCCAGTGTGTTCTAGGGTATCAACCACCCCTGTTCCCGTGGGATACCGCATCAGGGATGGTACCGGCTGTGGACGAGTGGTTCCGTCGGAGTGCGCAGGTATGGGACGGCCCATCAACATCTCAGTCAAGCCTCACAACAGCAAAAGACCTACGCCGACCGACGCCGGAGACCTACTCCCACTTATCAACCCGGGCAACGAGTGTGGCTGTCTACCCGAGACCTGCGGTTCCGACGGAGCTGCAAGAAGCTCCAACCCAGGTACATCAGTCCTTTCAAGGTACAGAGACGTATTAACCCTGTCACCTACCGTCTGTTACTCCCTCGACACTACAGGATAAACCCTACGTTCCACGTCTCCCTATTGAAACCTGTCCACTATAGCCCGATGTACCCCCCAATCGCTCAACAACCTACTACACCACCTTTGGAAGGATGAACAGGACACCACCTATACAGTCCACGAGATACTGGAGTCAAGACGGAGACGAGGGGGCATCGAATATCTCGTGGACTGGGAGGGATATGGACCTGAGGAACGGTCCTGGGTCCCTGCTAAGGACATACTGGATCCCGCTCTCAAGGCCACTTTCCACGCTGAACACCCAGATCATCCAGGACCCCGACCCAGAGGAAGACCACCCGGTAGAGGTAGAAGGCCGTCAGGAGCCGGCCCTGGGGAGGGGGATACTGTAAGGGATCGGAGGTTGGCTGGGTCTAGGCAGAGTCTGACACTTCCCCGATCTACAGAGAGGGGGAGTCATCAGACTCGATCTGGTTCACCTGAGTTCTGAGCACACCTGTCAGTAATTAGTGTAGGATATAAGGTGTGCTCAGAAGTTCAGTCGGTGCGAGGTATTGTTCCATTGTGACTTGCTAAGCGTTTTGTTCCGAGAGAGAGAGTTTGTTGTTTTTGATTACCCGTGTATCCGACCTGTGCCTTGTTGTTTGACTCCCCGAATTGCTTAATCCTCTGCTTGTCTACCCCAGTGATTACCGTCCTCTGATCCTGTGTCTGTGACCTCGACTACGACTAAGCCCGCTCCCTTGGTACCTCTGCCTGTCTCTGCCTGGCCCGGTTTTGACCACAGCCCGCCCGACCACGATTAAGCTATTCCCTTGTCTGTACTCTAATAAAGCATCGCTATTCTGTGATTGGATCTTACCACTCTGTCCGAGTATTCATTACATTATTATTATTGTTATTATTATTATTGTTATTATTATTATTGTTATTATTATTATTATTATTATTATTATTATTATTATTATTATTATTATTATTATTATCATGATCTATCCTGATGCCCAGTCACTTTACCCCTGCCTACATGGACATATCTACCTCAACTGCCTCATACCCCTCCACATTGACATGGTATTGGTACTCCATGTATATAGCTTCATACTTGTGTGCTTTATTTCTCTTGTGTTTTTACTATGTTATTTTTTAACTGCATCATTGGGAAAGAGTTTGTAAGCTGATGTAGACTATTGTTTTATTATGATGTATTACTCTATTCCTGTTTGGACCCTGGGAAGCTAATAAGGATCCAAATCAATACTAAAATACTAAGCAATTCACTGTAATGTATTCAGTGCAAATATATTTGATTTGATTGGCTTCACAAGACCACCCTAGATATTCAACAACAACAACAACTACTACTACTACTACTACTACTACTACTACTACTACTACTACTACTACTACTACTACTACTACTACTACTACTACTACTACTACTATTACTACACTCTCAGAAAAAGTTCCAAAAGGGTTCTTTGGCTGTCCCCACTTTTTGGTTCCAGGTAGAACTCTTTTGGGTTCCATGAATAACCCTCTCTGGAAATCCAAAAGGGTGATACCTGGAACCATGAAGGATTTTACAAAGGGTTCTCCTATGGGGACAGTCAAATAACCCTTTTCGGTTCTAAATAGCACATTTGTTTCTAAGAGTGTACTGCTGCTACTATTACTGCTGCTACTACTACTACTACTACTACTACTACTACTACTACTACTACTACTACTACTACTACTACTACCACATACAAATACATTTGGCCAGCTGAAGCAAGTCACACAATTATTCTTCATGGAAAATTACCATTCTAGTGTTTTCATTTATTTGTGGACAATTAGGCTGTCTTTCACTAGCGTTGTGAAAATGCAAGGAAGACTGTAGATCCAGAGATATTAGACAGTTGACTTGTTTATTACAACGCCTGTAACATTACAGAATGGGTAGCCAATACGTACAATATAGACATTTATTCGTTGTAACACATTTCACTGAGATCTTGTTTTGCATTGATAGTGGTACGAACGCCACATGCCCATTGGTGTATTGACACACATTGGGTTGTGGGCCCACAGGGCCTATGCGGTGAGGTTTAAGAAGTCAATGTCGTTTTTGATGAGATAGTAGACCATGCTTGTCCAGAGCAGGCCTGTGAGACAGAGGCTCAGTAAGGGGTTGGTGTGTGGGCTCCTGATCTGGACCTGGCCTGGACAGCAGCAGTCACTGGGGGGGTCACTGGGGGAGTCACTGGGGGGGCCTGTGGAAGCACACCAGGCTGTCAGTGGCCGCTGGGGCAGAGTAGTGAGTTAAAACATAGACGGTGTCAAAAATGGGATTTTCTTTCTGCTTTATTGTTCTGCTTCATCATTGTGCGGACCACACCCCTGTAGATATGGCTGCTTGGCATAATGGGCTGTTTATTAGTGCACAGGAAGTGGTGGTCCTGTTGGATGAGTGTTCAGGAAAGGTGGAATTACTGAACGTCCATGCGCCCATGACAGATCTCGTCCACCTGCCGGCTCTTTCTCTTTTGAACCGTCTGGTTTCACATTGTCTCAGAAAGAGACTGGAATGGATCCCCATGGCAGGGGCAGGGAAAACTCCCGCTGGATTTACATTGGCTGATCTCTCAGTCCATCACCATCTAGCATAACCCTCTACATTGTGAATTTCAAAGCGCGAGCAGTGCAAATGATGTAGGCTTAACAAGGAAGTGAGATCACATGTCAACTTTATATGCCCAAACTCAAGAATCAGTTGGGCTTCCCAAAAGTAATACGGTCGCTGTGATAGAACATGTATTTTTATTGGAGATTTTCAGAATTTTTCAAAGTGAAACTGTAGCAGGCTCTCTCTCTCCTGCCTTGATTTGATCCCTTCCCCTTTCAAGTCCCACTTTATTGCACAGTGTTTCCAGGCTCTATATTTGGTGTCAATTGAACTTGGGGAAGAGGTTAACCCATGACTGATTTTGAAATGATGTTTCTGTGTCCGTGTTTATCATAGAAATAATTTGAATAGGCCAATGGTCAGTATTCATCCTAAAGGGCTTTGGATGACGCCTTTCCCAAAATATGTTTCTTTAATAACGTATATCATTGGATGTCTTCCCCATCAGAACTTTCTTTAATATCGTGTATCATTGGATGTCTTCCCCATCACATGTTTCTTTAAAATCGGATATCATTGGATGTCTTCCCATCATAAGTTTCTTTAATATCGGATATCATTGGATGTCTTCCTCATCATATGTTTCTTTAATAACGTATATCATTGGATGTCTTCCCCATCATAAGTTTCTTTAATATCGTATATCATTGGACGTCTTCCTCATCATATGTTTCTTTAATAACGTATATCATTGGATGTCTTCCCCATCATAAGTTTCTTTAATATCGGATATCATTGGATGTCTTCCTCATCATATGTTTCTTGGTGTTTTGCTCTGGCCTCAGCAATATAATGAAACATTTAGGAGCAAATATGCAGAAAAGTAAACCAAAACTAGAGGCCAGAATGGCAAATATCTCCACAGCTACAGTGAACTTCCCAGGAGAGCTGACATAAGCTGGGATAAAGGTGATCCAGACTGCACAGAAAATGAGCATGCTGAAGGTGATGAATTTGGCCTCATTGAAGTTATCAGGCAGCTTTCGAGCCAGAAAAGCCAGCACAAAGCACAAGAGAGCCAGGAGTCCTATATACCCCAACACAGCCCAGAAACCAATAGCTGAACCCACATCACACTCTAGAATGATCTTTTCCTTATAGGTCTTCATATTCTTGTAAGGGAAAGGAGGGGAGACTGTTAACCAGAGAACACAGATCAGGACCTGTATGAGAGTGAAAGCCAGAACACTGAGTCTCTGCTGTGGAGGCCCAAACCATTTCATGACATTACTGCTTGGAAGTGTAGCCCTGAAGGCCATCAACACCACTATTGTTTTCCCCAGAACACAAGAGATGCAGAGGACGAAGGTGATCCCAAACGCTGTATGGCGCAGCATACAGGACCACTCAGAGGGCCGGCCAATGAAAGTAAGAGAACACAGAAAACACAGAGTCAAGGAGAAGAGCAGCAGGAAGCTCAGCTCAGAGTTGTTGGCCCTGACGATGGGAGTGTCCTTATGAATTGAAAACACAACAGCTACCAGAGCAGTAACACAGGACCCCAATAAGGAGAAAAATACCAGAACTATGCCCATGATTTCTTCATAGGAGAGGAATTCAACTGGTTTCAACACACAGCGGTCCCTTTTCTCATTTGACCAATACTCCAAGTCACATCGATAGCAGCCGTTAGAATCTGTAGGGAGATTGGAACATCATCATTCATTCTATGAATCAGGCCACTGTGTCATGTGTTCTTTATATCTATTGGGCCTGTTGGGCAGTGATAGAGCTTGAAAGGTATTGTAGGCAGCCCTAAATGCATTATATATTACCTGTGATGTTACTGATCTCTCCCTCTGCACATGGTACACAGTCATAACAGCAGACAGGCTTTCCTTTCTGCACAGCCTTACGAGTGCCTGGGGGACAGCTCTCACTGCACACTGACACAGGCACCTGTAGAGAAATACAACACGGGTGAATATTGGTGTATTTTATATAAATAATTGTGCAGAGATGTTTTAATGTCACTACTTGGTGAAGTTATATGACAAATAAAAAAAAATACAATTGAGGTAGACTATGTGGTTATGTATACATTATAGAATGCATGTTTTACATTTGCAGTGGTTTGAGGTTTGCATGTGTTATGCTTTTGCAACATAGTCAACATGTATTTAGTCCTACCTCTGCCTGGCCCCCTGCCCAGACCAGTTCTCCCTGATTGATGGTAAAGCGCTGTTCAGGGGGCATCGAGGAATCATACAGCCCCACGGCATGGAACTGCAGGGTACCATCCTTCTCCTGCTGCCAGTTCACCAGGTCGTAGCACGCCACCGCATCCCCGTTAGCATCAAACCAGATCTCCTCTCCTGTCTTTACTCTAAACTTCACCTCCTTCAGGTACTGTAGAACCTGCTCAACAACATGGGAGAGAGAGAGAGAGAGACGAGAGAGAGAGAGAGAGGAGGAGAGAGAGAGGAGAGAGAGAGAGAGAGAGGAGAGAGAGAGAGAGAGAGAGAGAGGAGAGAGAGAGAGAGAGAGAGAGAGAGAGAGAGGGTGATCGAATGAAGGATTGTGGGAATGGAGTTGCACGTGTGGTGTAGTAGATGGTCTGATGGTGTCTGTGTATCTTAATCTGTAGTAGGGTGTAGAGCGTGGCGAGGCGTGATACGCTGTGGTAGAACCTTAGGGATCTAGTTCTGACATCAGTGTTTGTTCTTCAGCTTGTAAGTCTCGTCAGTAGGTGCTGTGTAGAGCACGTGAGGAGCGATGGAACAAGTTCCGAATCCTGACAGGGTTTGTTGGTGCTGGAGGGTCATTGCTAGGAGCCCTCCAGACACATCCAGCTGCATTCTGATGTCTAAAGCACCCGCTAGGAGCTGTTAGGCCTGTCGCCAGCGTCTGGCTGTGACCATGGACTCACTGCCACCCTCGACTGGTCTTCAGGCCAACTGGACACAGCAGGGGATGGTCCCCAAGCAGGAACAGTACCACCCCTGGCGGGTGCTTGTCTGGTGCCTGGTCCAGGGCACTTGTCTAGGAAGCCCTCCAGACCATCCAGCCTGGCCATTCCTGATGGCAAAGCCCACCGCCCCGCTCAGGAAGCTGTAGGCCTTGTTCTCCGCCAGCAGTCTGGCTGTGATCCAGGACTCACTGCCCACCCACTGCAGCCCTGGGTCTCCCTCCAGGGCCAACTCATTCAGCAGGGGGATGAGGTCCCCCAAGCCCAGGAACAGTACCACCACCCTGGCTGTGGCCCTCCGGATCACCCTGACCGCTTCCAGGAGCCTCTCTCGGGGGTCTGTGCGGTAGATGGCCTCTTGGTACTCTACACAGACCCCTTCATGCCTCGCTGCCTCCATGAAGGAGGCCATGCCGTTGTTTCCATAGTCACTGTTGCTGTTCACCACTCCCACCCAGGTCCAACCAAAGTGTTTGACCAGCTTTGCCAGGGCTCTGCTCTGGTAGAAGTCACTGGGGATGGTTCTGAAGAAGGAAGGGAACCTTTTTCTGTTACTCAGACAAGCACAGGTGGCAAAGTGGCTGATCTGTGTGGAAGAAAAGGGAAGATTTGAATTGATGTTTCATACATAGCTGACATTGAGTATACTACATCTAAAGAGACAAAACCTGAAGGTGTCTCACCACAGGGATGCTGAATGGTCCGACCAGGGATGATATTCCGATGGTGGGTGTGGAGCTTGACTCCCCTACGATGCCCAACACGGCTGGAGGTCTGGAGCAGGAGGAGGGGTCACCCAGGCTGTCCTCAGGCTCAAGGCTGTTCATCAGGGCCAGGGCTGAGTGGATGGCCAAGGGGACAGAGCCACAGGAGTCATAGACCTGGTAACCCAGAGACAGCCCTGGCAGCAGATCACTGCTGTTGTTGATCTCCTCCAGGGCAAAGATCAAGGTCTGGGCAAACTGGAACTCACGTGGGTTGAAACTGGACAACGGTAACAAATGAAAAAATAAGTTAGTTGAAGCTAGGAATCACATATGCCAGCATATGAACTAAAACTGATATACTCGGTCGAGATGATTTGAGTATTGTGTTTAGTATAATAGAAACAATTTGTATATTTGTTTTGTCCAAACATAAACACACAGATCATCTACAATTGTTTTATTCAGCCCTATGCCTAATTCCACTGCTAAGAAACATCTATCTTGATGAGAAATATTCCCAAACAGTGAAAAGAACTCACAGACAGTTGTTTTCAACACATACCTGATACAGGGTGTTTTCTCTGGTCTGAAGGTGAAGGAATGGACCTTGAAGAGGGCATTCCTATGTAGGGAGAACACTGCCCCAATGTTGATGTCCCCCTCGGCAGACAGGAGAGGCAGAGCAGGTTGGCCCAGCAGAGAGCAGGCTGGGGCTGCAGCAACCATGCCGCTCACCCCCACCACCAGCAGCAGCTGAACCACATCTGTTCTCGGTGCCATGCCAGCTTCAGCAGGGCAGCTGTGTCTGACAGGGCAGACAGAAGGGTTCCTCTCTTTATAGAGGTGAGACACTGGGACTGCCCGTACACTCCCTCTCAATGAGTTGGATGTGGTTCCAGTGTTTATTGTATCCCATGGGTACAGGATGAGAGAGGGAGGTGAGATAGTGACAGAGGTTTGGCCTATGCTGCTAATATGAGCAAGCAGTGGATAGATAAGTGCAGGCTTCTGACATTGTGGGAATAAAACATAATATCCGTCATGCTTTCCCATATGTTTTTTTTTTGTGTGTGACAATTTCAACACATACATAAAACAATAGAACAAAATAATATTTATTTAAAACCCATAATTGTTCTATTGTTTCATGTATGTGTTGAAATCACACAATGTCCCAAGAACGTCCCAAAAACGTCCTCGGGGGCGTCCCCGGGACCAACCAGGAACTAGACAAAACCTCCAAGGGACCATGACACAACGTCCCAAGAAGGTCCTAAAAACATCCCGGGTCAAAACGGGAACTATAAAAAGGTCCCCCAGAGAACGTTCCCTTGGGACCATCATGCAACATCCTAAGGAATAATAAAATGTAGTTCCTGAGAATGTCCTGACATGATCCTCAGTGAAGTCCTTGGAACTTACAGGGAACTATAAAAAGGTCCCCCAGAGAACGTTCCCTTGAGACCATCATGCAACATCCTAAGGAATAATAAAATGTAGTTCCTGAGAATGTCCTGACATGATCCTCAGTGAAGTCCTTGGAACTTACAGGGAACTAGACAAAGGTCCCCCAGAGAACGTTCCCTTGGGACCATCATGCAATGTTCTTGGAATGTTCTCAGAATGTTGCACCAAAACCCTTAAGGGGCAGTGCAGTTAGATTAACAAGAATTTTAACTTTCTGCCCGTATAAGACATGTCTATGTCCTTGAAAGTTTGCTGTTGCTTACAACAGTCATGCTAATCACATTAGCGCAAGTTAGCTCAACCGTCCAGAATACGGGACACTGATCCCTTAGAGGTTAACAAAGAGCCCGAAATTAGTTTCAGAATGTGTGGCAAGAAATAAGTTACTCCTAAATATTTCAAAAACTAAAAGCATTGTATTTGGGACAAATCATTTACTAAACCCTAAACCTCAACTAAATCTTGTAATGAATAATGTGGAAATTGTGATCAGACAGTATGCTAAGTGTTCCTCTTCTCAAATGAACAGCACACATTTTCCCATGCTAATCATCAATCAATGATTAATCCATTAATTTTGATAATGTAGCTCTTTTTACAAATACGTTGATTATGCAGAGGTATTGGCGGGCAGGATAACTTCATTGAGAGGAACCAAACTAAGCAACCTGGATTCAGGGTTAGACGTAACATAGTACACGAAAATCCACCCTGACCAACCACTCTCCTTTCGTTTTTGCCTTAACCTTTTCTCACGTGAGTTCCAATTATCTCTCACGGTCGCCCCAGACCTAGAGGTTAATATAGGGCTATAAACAAGTTCCCTACTTTCTCCCCTATTTACTTGCCTGCATTTCTGCTGCAATCAGTTGGTTATAACTTTGAATTGAGCAAACATTCCAATATATTTTTGATAGCTGCACGTGTGACATAACTTCACCATTCCTATTCATAATATAATTAGTAAAGATAATACCATTAAAAAAATCCAGAAATAATGTTTTTTCATCAAGAGGTATATTTGAGTTTAACCATAATATTTGTGGTAATATTTGATCAGGCTTTTCAGGAGGATGAAATGGAAATTATAATCAGCTTTGTATTGCTTATTTTAGAAAAGACGATACTTTGAGGTTTCATTTTCAATTAAACAAAAATGTGAGGTTGTCATCTGGATGAAGGCAAAAAGGCCATTTTTGAACAGAGGGTGAGCCATTCTTATTAATCTGCAGGAGAACCAGTTTGGGTTTAAGTATAACTTTTGTATGACTGAAGCTTTTAGGGTTTTAATGCTTTAAAATGTAGTATGTTTTGCCCCCCAAAATTAGTACTCATTGTATAAATAAGCATGTTACATTTCGTCTGCCTTAAGGCTCCAAAATAATTGAAATATTTTTTGCTCATTTACACTACCAGTCAAAAGTATTTTCTTTAATTATTTTTTATTATTTTTTTTTTTTAAATGTTTGGGGGGGGGGGGGGGGGGGGTAGATCAGCTTCAATATTGCAGATAGATTGTAACTTCCATCAATGTAATTGTCTGCATCACTTCCAATCCCCCATTCGTTTTTTGTCTCGCAAATATATACATACAGTGGGGAGAACAAGTATTTGATACACTGCCGATTTTGCAGGTTTTCCTACTTACAAAGCATGTAGAGGTCTGTAATTTTTATCATAGGTACACTTCAACTGTGAGAGACGGAATCTAAAACAAAAATCCAGAAAATCACATTGTATGATTTTTAAGTAATTAATTTGCATTTTATTGCATTCCTCCTGACAGAGCTGGTGTAACTGAGTCAGGTTTGTAGGCCTCCTTGCTCGCACATGCTTTTTCAGTTCTGCCCACATTTTCTATAGGATTGAGGTCAGGGCTTTGTGATGGCCACTCCAATACATTGACTTTGTTGTCCTTAAGCCATTTTGCCACAACTTTGGAACTATGCTTGGGGTCATTGTCAATTTGGAAGACCCGTTTGTGACCAAGCTTTAACTTCCTGACTGATGTCTTGAGATGTTGCTTCAATATATCCACTTATTTCTCCAAAAAGTACGATCTTTGTCCCCATGTGCAGTTGCAAACCGTAGTCTGGCTTTTTTATGGCGGTTTTGGGGCAGTGGCTTCTTCCTTGCTGAGCGGCCTTTCAGGTTATGTCGATATCGGACTCGTTTTACTGTGGATATAGATACGTTTGTACCTGTTTCCTCCAGCATCTTCACAAGGTCCTTTGCTGTTGTTATGGGATTAATTTGCACTTTCCGCACCATATCTGTATCTGAGATGTATAATGATTCTAACTGTCCTCCTTTGTCCCTCCACTAAACAGTCCCCCATCAACCCAAGAAAAGCCCTATCAATCGAGTAGCTTTTTTTGGTTGTCCATGTGTGTTCCATCACATGGATCCTAGGGCCCATAAGAAATTGGGACCCTTCCGTTGAAAAGAGCTCAAAGTGCCACTTACAGAACAAAACCAGGTTAGAGCAGTAAGCATTACTAGCCGCTTCACCTCAACTTTGGTATATATTTTTAAATATATATATTTTTCTCCAAATGCATGAATTCCTTTCAAATTAAACAGATTACACGTAACACTGTAGGTACTTCCTACAAAATATAATTACCGGCAGTACGGGCAGTAGAAATTTGACATTTAAGGAAGCAAATATTATTTTATATTACAACACGAGATTCAACGTAATCTGTGTTTCTGGTCATACCTCATACCAATAATAAATATAAGTATGAACAGAAATAATGATAATAGTAATAGTAATATTAACTATTATATCAATCATGACAATACCAATAATGATAATAATATCATTAAAATTAATAATACTAATAATACTAATAATTGTAACAATAATAGTGACAATAATAGTAATAACAATAATAATAATTACATAAATAAATACAAGTAACTATAGTTGTAACACAGATTGTCATACCATACCAATAGCTAAGAGGATTTGGTGTAGGAAATATTACCATTCCTATTTCTATCCCATACCAGTTCCTATCATCATCACCCAATGTCAGCAACTGCGGAATGCATACAGGCACACGCCTCCAGCCGCACTCACACACCTCTCCCCTCCCACACATACACCCACACCCACACTCACACCCACATACACACACAAGAGTAGGCTTGCAGTGCTATGTGATTGTGCATACAGTTGTAACCGTTTGAGCGTAATGCCAATTGTGCAGGGATGGGTGTATTCTGATTGCCCAATGTCTAGTCCTGGCTGATGAAGTTCGGTAAGCCTAGTTAGCTTTGTTGAATAATGGTTTATAAATACACTTGAAAGTATTCCATCATGTAACCCTGCAAGGGTTTCACTGTTGAGGAACATTCTCACTTTTGGATGGGATGCATTGGTGCAATTATTTATTTATCCCAAGAATTAAGGCATCATGTCAAGATCTGCCCATCTGTGCAACACGCTCGAACGTGCCCACATGTGTTGAAACTGACGTCATGTGACAGTACGCAAAGAACATCGGTCGAGAAGATCTGTGTGCCAAATGTAGAACGATTGCCGTGAAAGAAACAAAGTGTTGTAGGTCAAAAACGTCAACACAGGAGAGAGAAAGTAAGTTTTCCATGCAATTTGTTTTGGTTTATTGGACACATGAATTCTGCTAAACAATTTAACATATGTAGTTAGCTAGCCTAGTGTTGGATAGCTAGCTAACTGTAGCCAGAGCCATATATTAAGAGAATTAGCCCTACTTTTAGAATTGTTTTTATTGTTCTAGCTAATTTTAGACATTCAGTTACATAGCATTGTTTAAATATGCCATAGAATCTAGAAGTGTCATGTAAATGCATTATAATGCAGAAATCGTATTGTTCCAGCTCTCTAAAAAATATGTCTCTGACTGTAGCTAGCTAGCAAATGGTAGCTGGCATTTTTGTTCGACCTACCAACTAGGCTAGCTAGCTAGCTAGCTAGTTAACATCTACAGAATAGATTTTCCATGCAATCTGTTGAGTTTTTTGGGATTAGATAGTTAGCTAGTTCCTAGCTAAAGCTGGCAATTTTGCTATGATCGCTACCTGCTAGCTAACTAGTTAGCTAACGTTAGCTGGGCTCGATGGTCTTATCTTCTCTGAACCTTGTTCTCAGAGTATCCGTACGCCAAGAGTATTACGTGAGACACACCCAGCATGTTAACGTTAGCTAGCTAGCTACTTGTGTCAACACACTATAAGTCCTTTTCAATGTAGCTAAACACAAGCTAATTTATTAGTGTTAGCATGCACTATTATTGCTAGCTCAATCACACAAAAGGTAGCTAGGTAGGCCTAGCTATATGACTAAACGATAGAAATCATGATGATGATAACTAGGGGTAATGTAGAGTGTCTATGCTAAATGATCATACATTCTTCTTCTCTACCACATATTCCTATAAGGTCTCAGACTGCCAGGATGGGAACATGCTTACAAGAAAGAAACAGAGGAAGACAGAGACAGAGTTGTCGATTTCCATTTTTGTAATGTTAAAAAGGATAGAAAAAGACAACCCTGCTTTTGTAAATGAGCTATCCAGGCCAGTGTTTCCCAACTCCTGTCCTAGAGTACCCCCCAGCACACCCGATTCAACTTGTCAACCAATCAGGTCTGTTTGTCCGGGGCTACAACAAACATGTTGTACTGTTGGGGGTACTCCTCGACTGGAGTTGGGAAACACTGATCAAGGCCAAGGATTCCCAAACTTCTTTGCTTCATGACCCACCAATTGAGGTGTCTTGAGTCGCGACCCACCATATGGGTTGAGCAGTGAAAAAACGTACACAGACCAAAGAATAAGTACAAAATATTAATCTTGGCAGCAGATAGAACATTTTGTCATTTTAAAGCTAATTTCCCGCAATTCTACCCATTTTGCCATGGAGCTGAAATAAAATGTTGCAGTTTTAAAGCCACATTTTCTGCAATTCTATACATTTTGCCATGGCAAAAACTGTGTTCTTATGCTCAAACATTATAACAAAATCAATGGGGGCTTGATTGTCTAGTTTTTATTTTGTTGATTGTAAATTCTCAAAGATTACAGGCTATTATTTTAAAATATATGGGTCCATCATATTTTCTACAAGCTTTCTATTTGGTTTTAGTCATTCAAGTTTACACTGAAAGTGTTTTTCCATTGCGAAAATCTATTTAAAAACAAATATCAAACGACCATCCTGCGACCCACCTGGACCCCTGCCGCGACCCACAAGTGGGTCCTCACCCACAGTTTGGGAACAACGGATCTAGGCTACTCACCATACTGTGGGCTACAGATTTATGTTATTGAGTAGGCCTATATTTTTGTTTAATCTATTTCATCCATTTATTAACAATAAAAATCCTTATTATTTTGTAAGGGAATGTAAGGTATTTTTACGTTTCAATAAAGTTGACTGAAGTAGAAGCTAATTTCCACTTAGTAATGAGTAATAAGTAATTACATAGAAATACACTTGATTTTAACTATCTAAATCCTGTGTAACACATAGTAATTACACTGCACTTATGCATCTATTACATGTACTCCGTGGTGTACTTGTGTGTTTATCCCTTAAAATAAGGGCCAGGTTCTCAGGATGTGTAATGTACTGTATAAGTACACATTCATTACAAGTAAGAACCCCTCAAGATACACTTCATTTTATCTAGCTAAATCCCGTGTAACACCAAGTAATTACATTGTACTTTTAAGTGATAACGCCCGAGAAGCCGGTGTTTTGGAGGATATATTGGCACGGGTGTTGTTAGGCCCGAGACGAAGTCGAGGTCCTGCAAACCGTGCCAATGTACACTACCAGTCAAAAGTTTGGACACACCTTCCATATGTGTTATATCATAGTTTTGATTTCTTCACTATTATTCTACAATGTAGAAAATAGTAAAAATAAAGAAAAACCTTTGAATGAGTAGGTGTTCTAAAACTTTTGACTGGTAGTGTATATTTTTTAAATACAGGCTTTCCTGGGTATTTTACAGTTTGTTTCTAGCATAAAGCATCGCAGACCAAAGCGCCGTAATAGATCACTTTATATAATCGGATACGTTTTATTTTATTAAAAATCTTAAGCTAACAAGGGGTAGGCCTATGCTTTTTTTTTTTGCCATTTTCTTTAGCAAGATGTATGGTATACACTCACATAACCCCTCAATTCGAGTCCTGATTTTAACTTGGTTTAACTTGGTTTTTAACCTGTTTCTAACCTGTTTTTAACACACCGCGCATTTCACTGACACAGAGGCTTAACGAGTGCATGGTGGGTGGAGGAATTGGGGACAAATCTATTGATAGCATTTTATAATTGCGTCTGTCAAACAGGTATGCCTACCTCTTATTTCTTAAATGGTAGGAAACAGGCTCCAACACAAAACCCTCTTGTTGTTAATAAAGTTGTTTTTATTCAAATCAATTCTAGCAGTAGCAAGCTTACCTCCGGTCCTCCTCCTCATCTTCACGCTCTCCCTATCAAACTGGACAGGACACCAGTAGTCCACGCGCACGATATATACTTTTTTGGACTAAGAAAAAAATATTTTTTTTTGCAGAACTGCCACCGTACACAGATCAGCCATTGGTTAGGCAGCACAAAAAAAGGTTTTGGATCAGCAAATGCAGGGCAGGCCAGGCCTCAGGGTTGGAATATCCATTGCAGTGTGTAATGCAGCCTAATTCTATTCACACCATCCCAGCTGCGCAAAAAACTCAGGATGCAACTTAATTTTCTTAGAAATATAACTTTGCCCTGTGCTTCTCAGAGCATGCACTTCGTATAGCCTAGCCTAAGGTAAGGATAATTTTATTGAGACCACACTAAATAGCCTATAGACGCACTTGATATTGCGCGGCATCGGGCACACATAGCCTAATTCTAAAACAATGAAAAATATTGAAATGTCATCAATTACAAATTACATGTCCCTCCCCTGGACTAGATTTAAAATTTTAAAAAAAAACCTCGCCCTGAATGAAATCGAAAGCATTTTCCTCCAGGTCCCTAATTACATTATTGTGATTTTGCATGACTTTTCCCCATCAAGTGTTTTTTTGTATTTTTCTCTGGTTTAAGTAATATGATATAACACTTTGGAGCAAATATACAGAAAAGCAACCCATAACTGGAGGCCAGAATGGCAAATATCTCCACAGCTACAGTGAACTTCCCAGGAGAGCTGACATAAGCTGGGATAAAGGTGATCCAGACTGCACAGAATATGAGCATACTGAAGCTGATGAATTTGGCCTCATTGAAGTTATCGGGCAGCTTTCGAGCCAGAAAAGCCAGCACAAGGCACAAGAGAGCCAGGAGTCCTATATACCCCAACACAGCCCAGAAACCAATAGCCGAACCCACATCACACTCTAGAATGATCTTTTCAGTGACGTGGGCTGTGTTTTTGAATGGGAATGGAGGGGCGAGAGCCAACCAGAGAACACACATAACCACCTGTAGGAAGGTACAGCTGAACACACTCACTCTCTGGAGAGGTATAGAGCACTGGGGAACTATATTGCCTGGCATTGTGGCCTGGAAAGCTATCACCACCGCTATGGTCTTCGCCAGGACGCAGGACATACACAGAGCAAAGGTGATCCCAAACACTGTGTGGCGCAGCATACAGGACCACTCAGAGGGCCGGCCAATGAAAGTAAGAGAACACAGAAAACACAGAGTCAAGGAGAAGAGCAGCAGGAAGCTCAGCTCAGTGTTGCTGGCCTTGACGATGGGAGTCTCTCGGAAGCAAAAGAAGACCAATGACACCATTGTGGTTAAACACGCTCCGACCAATGAGATTGCAGCCAGGAGGATTCCCATGATTTCATAAAATGAGAGAAATTCCACCATCTTCGGGACACAGAGAGTCTTGTCTCTGTTTGGCCAGTATTCCAGGGAACACTGTGTGCATTCAGCTGAATCTACAAGGAAAACGCTCATGTCACAACACTGATCTACAGTCAAGCAGTGTATAACATTCTAGAAGTTTACAAATTCTACATGTGATGTATCTTTTTGGTCAGTAGATTTGGTTAGTATCAGTCAGAGCGACATAAGAGGCCATTAGAGAGCCCCCAGACCATACATAAATACATTTTGCTAAGGGGTCCCAAAAGTTGCTATCTAGAACCTAAAAGGGTTCATCGGCTGTCCCCATAGGAGAACCCAATTTACCTAGAACCATTTGGTTCTAGGTAGAACCCTATTTTGAGTTCTATATGGAACACAAAAGAGCTCTACCTGGAACCAAAAAGGGTTCTCCTATGGGGACACCCGAAGAACCCTTTTTTCTAAGAGTGTAGGGCCAGCTGTGGTATCAGTTGTCTGTCTCACCTGTTAGGTTGCTGATCTCCCCAGCAGCACAGGGAATACAGGAGAAACAGCAGACTGGCATTCCTTTGATCTCTGCCTGGCGGAACCCTGGGAGGCAGCTGTCACTACACACAGACCGAGGCCTCTGAAACACAATACAACACCTGCTCACTCCCTCTCTCTGTCTCTCTCTCTTTACTCCTTCAGTCACATTATTAACCCCTTGGTCACTCAATCATTCAATTAAATTCATTCTCACAGTATGTGTCATCAGATTTCTCCCATCAATTCAAATATCTTCAATCTAATTATCTGTGTTGTCTGAATGTACCTGTAACTTCTACCATGTGTTTTCTGTGTAACTGTGTACCTTTAAGGAATTGCCAGCCCATGCTATCTTTATCCTATTCATGGAAAACTGGTCTCCATTAGGGAGAGAGGCATCGTAATTCCCCACTGTGACAAACACAGTCTCTCCTGCCTGGTCTCTCTGCCAGTTCATCAGCTCATAGGTGGCTGTGGGGTCTCCGTTCTCATCAAAATAAACTCTCTCCCCAGACTTCATGGTGAAGTTTACGTCACGCAGGTATCTCAACACCTACATGAGTTAAAATACATACACAACACAGTGTAAAATACAGAAACAACACTGTCCCCATAGGAGAACACTTTTTGGTTCCAGGTAGAACCTTTTTTGTTTCCAGATAGAACCCTTTGGGTTCCATGTAGAACCCTCTGTGGAAAATATTTTACATGGAACCCAAAAGGGTTCTACCTGGAACCAAAAAGGTTTCCTCAAAGGGTTCTCCTATGGGGACAGCTGAAGAAACGTTTTAGGTTCTAGAAAGCACCTTTTTTTCTAAGAGTGTAGAATTCACGTACTTTAGAAATAACATGGTGTGATTGTAAATATTTGCCATTTTCATAAAACCAGTCAGTCAATTATCAAATCAGTTGAACAGAATTAACTACCGGTGACCTATAGAGGTAGCTGCTCACCTGTCCTGGCTCGATGCTGTCTCTGTCTGAACAGTTCCTATTCCCACCTTGGCCTTTACCATGCGTGCAGGTCAGCAGGTCATGTATGGAGTGGGCCACAGCATACACTGCCTTATACACATTATTAGAGAACCTCAGCTCAGACGTGTCAGTAAAAGAGTTATTGATTTCCTCTAGTCTCTCAGACCCAGAGCACTGACTCTGACTAGGCCCACCGTCACTCTCCTCCTGAGGGGAAAACCTGCAGCTGAACGTGACCTCCCAGAACTCTCTTAGCAGGGTGTTGTTTGGGTCCTGGGCTGGACCGACCCGGAGCAGGAACTCTCTCAGGCCCGGGATCTTAGACTTACTGATGGTGAATCCCAGAGCGCCGCTGAGGACAGCAGATCTCCTCCTGGTGGCCAGGCGATCAACAGTGATCCAGGACTCACTGCCCACCCACTGCAGCCCGGTCAGGTTCTGGGCCAGAGCCTCCTCCAGCAGAACATCCATCTCCCACTGGGTCACAAAGGCCACCACAACCCTGGAGCTGGCCCTGCCAATCACCTCAACCACCCTAGCTATCTGCTCCCTGGGGCTGTTCCATAAGATAGCCTCAGAGTACTCTATACACACCCCCTCCAGACCTGCGGCCTCCACGAAGGTTGCCATGCCGTTGTTGCCGTAGTCGTTGTCACTTCTAACAGCCCCCACCCAGGTCCAGCCAAAGTGCTTGACCAGCTGGGCCAGGGCTCTGCTCTGGTAGAAGTCACTGGGGATGGTTCTGAAGAAGGAGGGGAACTCCTTTCTGTTACTCAGACACGCACAGGTGGCGTAGTGGCTGATCTGGATGGAACGGGGAGGAATAAGACAATAGTTGTCATTTTTCATCAGCCAGTGTGGTTAAACTAAATGAGTGACTTGAATTTGATTAACATTACCACTGGTATTTGAAAAGCTCCTGTGGATCGTGACATCACTATGGTGGAGGAGGAATCAGAGGCTCCGATGATGGCGTGGACTGCTGATTGGCCAGAGCAGGTCTTTCCCACTGTCCTCTCCTGACCGTTCATCAGGGCCATGGCCACATGCATGGAGGACAGAGTCGAGCCACAACTATCATATATCCTGTAGCCAATAGAGATGTTGGGGAGCAGAGAAGTGCTGTTGTTGATCTCTTCGATGGCGAAGATCATGGTCTGAGCAAAATGAACATCTTGGAGGTTCATGCTGCGCAAACAAAAAGGAAAAAATGGCATTGCATTAGGTTAATCTGATATACGATATGAAACTGCAGATATAACCATGGTCTGATTTCATTGTCAGGTTTAGTTATTCTTTGAATCATATGATTCCAATCATATTTTCATTTTGTCCAAATAATTTTTGTCACATCAATGACATATAAATCCATCAGAGAGACTGGGTGTCTGTGAAGGAGCTTACCTGTAGCAGGTAAGAGGAGGTGGTGTGTCTGTGAAGGAGCTTACCTGGAGCAGGTGAGAGGAGGTGGTGTTTCGGTGAAGGAGAGCGGGGTCTCTGTGATTTTGGTGTGGATGGAGAAGGCTCCTCCGATAGTCACGTCTCCTTCCTTGGACAGCAGAGGGAACTCTGGGCTCCCCAGTATCCGACAGAGAGCCTGCTCTCCCTCTGCCCCAAAGACTCCTAACACCCCCACCACTACCACCCAGAGCAGCTGCATCACACACTCTCAAACATACTCTTTAAAGGCCTGAACGGAACAGGGAAGACCTGACCCCCACCACCTGAAATGTCTGGGTTTTATACATGATCGAGACTGTGACGCTTTCTTCTAAGCAAATCAGAGAAGGATGAGGTCATAAGGGCTTTGTTTTAGCTGAGCTGCTTCTAAAAATACACCACACAACTGTTTTATAACAAATACCCTTGATTATATATTCAAACTCCTGCATATTTAAGTTTGACCAATGTTGTTAAACACATTTTCCTAGTGAGTGATAACGAATACAGGTTGTGTGTGTTTTATGTGTTTTTGGGGACTGTTAATGCCAGCACATACAGGTGGATGAAGGTGTCAAATTCAAGTCCTTTGTGTTTATAGTTGTGCCCTCCCTCTCAACCCTGCGTGTTTCCTAAGCCTTGACCTCCAGATGTAATCTCTCAGCGTACACCCTAATCACCGAACCTTATTAGAAAACAGGTGTTCACACACCATGCTCACAAGTTTGTATGTGTCTGCGTCTGAGAGGGATATGGGGGTGCATACTGAGAGGGATATGGGGGTGCATACTGAGAGGGATATGGGGGTGCATACTGAGAGGGATATGGGGGTGCATACTGAGAGGGTATGGGGGTGCATACTGAGAGGGATATGGGGGTGCATACTGAGAGGGATATGGGGGTGCATACTGAGAGGGATATGGGGGTGCATACTGAGAGGGATATGGGGGTGCATACTGAGAGGGTATGGGGGTGCATACTGAGAGGGTATGGGGGTGCATACTGAGAGGGATATGGGGGTGCATACTGAGAGGGGTATGGGGGTGCATACTGAGAGGGTATGGGGGTGCATACTGAGAGGGATATGGGGGTGCATACTTAGAGGGATATGGGGGTGCATACTGAGAGGGATATGGGGGTGCATACTGAGAGGGATATGGGGGTGCATACTGAGAGGGATATGGGGGTGCATACCTAACTAACTTACAGTAAAACTGAAATATGTCTGATGTTGACTTACTAGTTTAATTTACGTTCCACGAAATGATCCCCTTTTGCGTCCCTTTAATATTTTAAGTAGAAATTGTGCACCATTATTGCGTTTTCAAAAGCCTGTTGTATTAAATGAATCAGATATTTTTTTTATGAATTAGATATTTTTTTATATGAATAAAGACTTGCTAAAGTGTCAGAATTCATCATTTTGACATGTCCCTCTGTGCACCCTGTGCCTTTTAGGAAGATTTTAACCCACTTAACCCCAAAATGTCTCCAGGTTTTCAGCATCATTTTAAAGCCCTAGTTATTTTGTTGATTATTATTATTTATTTCATGTGATTAGCGATACATTTTAAGGAAGAAAAAATAACTGTCCCTCATTGTAAGGTCAACCCTGTTACATGAACTGAACTCTCGTTTTAATATGGTGAAACTATTGCTTTTTAAATCTGGTAAAATCAGGTGATCTGGTTGACTCTTTTTGGCAATTTTATGGTGTTTTGTGGTGGAAAACTGAGTGGGTCAAGCATTACATGTCAACCCTTTCACCCATAAATAGACAGGCTAGAAATGTCTTAAAAATGTAATTTATTTTGTGAAGTTTGCATTCAATTGCCCCTCCCTGTTGTACTCAACAAGCCTGCACAAGGGGACTCATGGCTGATTTAAGATGAAACAATCAACCCTGTTACGGTCAACCGTGTTGCTTTATTTGGCGCTTAAAGCTAGAATTCTTAGGGCTGGATTCAATCCGTATCGCAGAAGTATCGTGCTCTTTAATTATTTGTAACTTTTATTTCTATGTCATTTTTATTTATTTTTTTTAGTATTTTTTCTTTAAACTGCATTGTTGGTTAAGGGCTTGTAAGTAAGCATTTCACTGTAAGGTCTACACCTGTTGTATTCGGCGCATGTGGCAAATAAAATGTGATTTGATTTGATTTGATTTGAAGATCCGCATTCTAGCTCGATTGAAATTTAAGGGCAATATTCCCTTGTTCGCAGAGACTGCATTCATGGTAAACGCTGCATATCTCAGCTCAATCGGAAATCACGATTACTACGATTAGTAGTAAAGTAGAAGACATGATTTCATAATCTAGACGTTACATTGACCAGGAACTGAACCCTGAAAAACTGGATTAGGGCACACGGAGAGCAATTTGAATAAGTTCTGTGAAGGTTGATTGTTGGGCTTGTGGTACGTGTAGCGTTGCTGATCTCTCCCCTCTGCACATGGTACACTGTCATAACAGCAGACAGGCTTTCCTTTCTGTGCAGCCTTACGAGTGCCTGGGGGACAGCTCTCACTGCACACTGACACAGGTATCTTTAGGGGACAGAGAGCATACATGGTTTACTCTAAATGTTTTTACTTCAACAGGGTTTGTTAAATAAATGTTTTCAATTGGAATATTGAGCCAAACAATATGGAAGAAAATGATGTTTTATTGTCACGTATAGGTGCAGTGAAATGTGTTGTTTTACAGGACTAGCCACAGTATAAAGCGCCCTCTTTGGCCTCATGGGTGGAAAGTTATAAATATTTTTCATAATTTCATAATTGATTAATATTATTACATTTTTTTACTAACGAAAATCCTGTGTTTCTATGTCAAACAGTTTTTTTTTATATTTCAGTCATCTGTGATGTAAACTATATATACAAAAGTATGTGGACACCCCATTCAAATTAGTGGATTCGGCTATTTCAGCTACACCCGTTGCTGACAGGTGTATAAAAGTCGAGCACACAGCCATGCAATCTCCATAGACAAACATTGGTAGTAGAATGGCCTTACTGAAGAGCTCAGTGACTTTCAACGTGGCACCGTCATAGGATGCCACCTTTCCAACAAGTCAGTTCGTCAAATTTCTGCCCCTGCTAGAGCTGCCCCAGTCAACTGTAAGTGCTGTTATTGTGGAGTGGAAATGTCTAGGAGCAACAAAGGCTCAGCCGCAAAGTGATAGGCCACACAAGCTCCCAGAACGGGACCGCAGAGTGCTGAAGCGCACCGAGTTCCAAACTGCCTCTTGAAGCAACGTCAGCACAAGAACTGTTAGTCGGGAGCTTCATGAAATGGGTTTCCATGGCCGAGCAGCTGCACACAAGCCCAAGATCACCATGCACAATGCCAAGCGTCAGCTGGAGTGGTGTAAAGCTCGCCGCCATCGGACTGGAGCAGTGGAAAAGCGTTCTCTGAAGTGACGAATCAGCTGCAGGGCATGGTGGACTAGAGTTAACCAATCAGAGACAGGCGTGATGGGACGGTTATTATTGCCTCAATTGTAATAATATATCATCACTCTGCTGCTTTAAAAACAGGATTACTTTTTACGGCATGAGGGACATCATCAGTGATCATTAACTTTCTGGAGTTGGGGGGTACTATTTATTATATTCAATTACACTATCCTGTAGGTCGATAGCATAATGAAGGGGAATGTCCTCTTTCCCAGTTTGGCTTCAGCTGTGTGGTAGAGCTCCGGGGCTTCAGCTGTGTGGTAGAGCTCCAAGGCTTCAGCTGTGTGGTAGAACTTCAGGGCTTCCGCTGTGTGGTAGAACTCCAGGGCTTCAGCTGTGTGGCTCCGGGGCTTCAGCTGTGTGGTAGAGCTCCGGGGCTTCAGCTGTGTGGTAGAGCTCCAGGGCTTCAGCTGTGTGGTAGAGCTCCGGGGCTTCAGTTGTGTGGTAGAGCTCTGGGGCTTCAGCTGTGTGGTAGAGCTCTGGGGCTTCAGCTGTGTGGTAGAGACTCCATGGGGCTTCAGCTGTGTGGTAGAGCTCCGGGGCTTCAGCTGTGCGGTAGAACTCCATGGGCTTCAGCTGTTTGGTAGAGCTCCGGGGCTTCAGCTGTGTGGTAGAGCTCCGGGACTTCAGGACTGAATGCATCTCAATAGTCTGACATGACCGTGTTTCCTCGTCTCCTCCTCTTTCATCTGCACTGATCAAAAAACACCGGACCGATAAATGAAAGAAGGCAATTGGCTTTCAATTGTCTAGTTATTTTATATCAGTGCAGAAGAGGGAAAGGAGAAGGCAAGGAGATGCACCCAGTGACTGTAAGGTAGGGTCAGCTGTGGAGCTGAGTGGGTGGTCTTAGGCCTTGAGTCTGTGGGGTAGGCCTTGCTGTGGAGCTGAGTGGTTAGTCTGCCCTACACTCTTAGAAATAGATAGGATAACCCTTTTTGGTTCCAGGTAGAACCCTTTTGAGTTCCATGTAAAACCCTTTTTTGTAAGAGTGTAGGCCTAGAGTCTGGGGGTCAGCTGTGGAGCTGAGTGGGTGGTCTGTCCTAAGCCTAGAGTCTGGGGGTCAGCTGTGGAGCTGAGTGGGTGGTCTGTTCTAAGCCTAGAGTCTGGGGGTCAGCTGTGGAGCTGAGTGGGTGGTCTGTCCTAAGCCTAGAGTCTGGAGGTCAGCTGTGGAGCTGAGTGGGTGGTCTGTCCTAAGCCTAGAGTCTGGGGGTCAGCTGTGGAGCTGAGTGGGTGGTCTGTCCTAAGCCTAGAGTCTGGGGGTCAGCTGTGGAGCTGAGTGGGTGGTCTGTCTAAGCCTAGAGTCTGGGGGTCAGCTGTGGAGCTGAGTGGGTGGTCTGTCCTAAGCCTAGAGTCTGGGGGTCAGCTGTGGAGCTGAGTGGGTGGTCTGTCCTAAGCCTAGAGTCTGGGGGTCAGCTGTGGAGCTGAGTGGGTGGTCTGTTCTAAGCCTAGAGTCTGGGGGTCAGCTGTGGAGCTGAGTGGGTGGTCTGTCCTAAGCCTAGAGTCTGGGGGTCAGCTGTGGAGCTGAGTGGGTGGTCTGTCCTAAGCCTGGAGTCTGGGGGTCAGGGCTCAGGGGACCTTGGGCCCGAGGCTCAGGATGGGCCAGGGCAGAGCCTCAGGAGTCTGGGGGTCAGGGCTCAGGGGACCTTGGGCCCGAGGCTCAGGATGGGCCAGGGCAGAGCCTCAGAACTGATCGTCAGAGCTGATGGTTGAATAACTGTGATGTTATGCACGTGCAGCAGATACTCTTCCTGGGGTCCACATAAAACATACAAATACATGTGTCGTGACTTCACTTTAACATTAATCTGAAGACTGTTATTTATCTAATTAACTAAATATGTTTAATTGTTACCCGATTCAATTAATCATGTAACAATTTAACTCATTAGGATCTGGGGCACAACGAGAGCAGTTCTTTAAAGAGTCACCTGAATTAAACTCTAAAACGTCTTTACCTATCACATCTATAAACAGGCAACTTATTAATCATAACCTCGTATCATATCATCATTCTGAACAGTCAAAACCCGAGCCTTACTTATGATTCAGTACTACACAAATTGGTTTAATTATTTATTTACTAGTTAATTAAATGGGAACACAGGATAAACACACACACTGTCACGATTTAAACTGAATATGAACCCAAATGCAGACAACTACACCGAGCCAGAGAAGGTTTAACAGGTTTATTTCAAAGTTAAATAGTCCAGGTTTCCAAAAATAGGGGAAGAGCAAGTCCAGGTCTACAGGGAGGGTAACAGGTCCAGGGTTCTGAGCAGGAGTGGTACCGTAACGTCCTAGTGTCCGTGGTGAGTCCAAATGTGAGGTCCAGTAGTGGAAAGCAGGATGGTGGTGGCAGGAGTGAAGCGGAGGCAGGAGTCAGGTTCCAATAATCTGTGGCACAGGAGAAAAGTAAATAGAACAGGCCAAAAACACAAAGAGCGAAAACAAGCAGGTTGAGTCAGCAGCGAGACTAACATGGTCGTCTTGACTATGAACTGATGATGAGTGGCAAGTTTGACCGGGTCTTTAAGGCTGAGGTGATTATGGTGAATGAGCTGCAGCTGGAACCCTGACTCCCGCACACCAGACTTCACTCCTGCAATTAAGAACAGACAGAGGGGAGGGGGAGAGCAGAGAGAGAGAGCTACCTAGCAGCAGTAGGCCTAACACACACTCTGCACCGGTTATTGACTTGAGACTTAATACGCTGAAAACAGGTCCCTAGCGGAATGGCAACAACATGGATGCTGGTTAAAGAAGAGATGTAGAGGAAGAGAGAGGTCTAATGTGTTAATTCGTAACCCCATCATTTATACCTTTTTGATCGAAAGGGGTGGTTGCGGCAGGCTGTTACGCTCCCTGACCTCACTTCGAGGCGGTTATTACTCACTGTGCAAAGTTATGGAAAACAATTATCTCTTACAGCTTCTCAAATCACATCCCTCTCTTAACAAAAAAAACTTTCATCATTTTTCATATTACATGCACAACGCATAGTATGGAAACTTCATCTATGTAGTGGGTATACTTTCCAAGTTACAGTATTTATTTATAACATTTTTAATGACATCACAAAATAACAAACAAAATGACATTAGTGTTCTATAGATCACCTCTGACCTCCCCTCGTTCTACGTTAGAAATATTGTTCCAGTATTCGCTTTTGAATGTGTTAGAGTTTCAGCGGGGGAAAAAGGGTATTTTGAGACAAAGAACATTCCTTTGGTGAATTTGGAGAGCACAGGCCTGGATCTTCTCCCTTGATTTACAACAGGACGTGAGTTGTTAATCCCCAATAGTTATTTCCTTCCCCCTCTACGGGTGAGAGGGGGTCTGATTGAAGTTATTAATTGCAAACCTGATATGACCTATTTGTATTCTCGTGATCAGTCATGACACATGACAAAGTACAGAACAGTACTAGACAAAAACAACATAAGATATTACATTAAATAAAACATAAATATAAAATAAGAGTTCTGTATAAAGAAAGACAACCAAGAAATAGCAAAAATACTATTTACACATTCTTCATCTATACAGTAAAGTACATATTCATATTCTTATATACAGTACTGTTAAATTAGATCTTTAAAAAGAGGAGAGGCGCTGTGATACAATATGTTTTTTATCTGTTTAAAAAAAAAAACTAAACTTGCTTCTTGCCTGAGTAACCTCTGGTGGCAGAGCATTCCACGATGACATGGCTCTATACATAACTGAGCGACGCATTAAATCTGTTTTTGGTTTGGGTACCGTGAAGAAAACCCATAGTGGCGTGTCTGGTGGGGTGTGTCTGTCTGTTTTGAAGTGTATGAAAATATATTACACAAGTGGTTAGGCATTTTCAACACACAAATTGTTCTTAAAGACTAGAAGAGAAGTAGTACATTTCTCCTCAAACCTCAACCATGTCAAATCAAATCAAATCAAATGTATTGGTCACATACACATGGTTATCAGATGCTATTGTGAGGGTAGCGAAATGCATGTGCTTCTAGTTCCGACAGTGCAGCAATATGTAGCAAGTAATATCTAACAGTTCCACAACAAATACCTAATACAAACAAATCTAAGTAAAGGAATGGAATAAGAATATATAACTATATGGATGAGCAATGTCATTATCAGAGTGGCATAGGCGAAGATGCAATAGATAGTATAGAATACAGTGTATACATATGAGATGGGTAATGCAAGATATGGTCCTCCCTCTGCTGTTTCCTGAAGTCCACGATCATCTCCTTTGTTTTGTTGACGTTGAGTGAGAGGTTATTTTCCTGACACCACACTCCGAGAGCCCTCACCTCCTCCCTGTAGGCTGTCTCATCGTTGTTGGTAATCAAGCCTACTACTGTTGTGTCGTCTGCAAACTTGATGATTGAGTTGGAGGCATGCATGGCTACGCAGTCATGGGTGAACAGGGAGTACAGGAGGGGGCTGAGCACACACCCTTGTGGGGCCCCAGTGTTGAGGATCAGCGAAGTGGAGATGTTGTAGCCTACCTTCACCACCTGGGGGCGGCCCGTCAGGAAGTCCAGGACCCAATTGCACAGGGCGGGGTTGAGCTTGGAGGGTACTATGGTGTTGAATGCTGAGCTATAGTCAATGAACAGCATTCTTACATAGGTAGTCCTCTTGTCCAGATGGGATAGGGCAGTGTGCAGTGTGATGGCGATTGCATCGTCTGTGGACCTATTGGGGCGGTAAGCAAATTGAAGTGGGTCTATGGTGACAGGTAAGGCGGAGGTAATATGATCCTTGACTAGTCTCTCAAAGCACTTCATGATGACAGAAGTAAGTGCTATGGGGCAATAGTAATTTTGTTCAGTTACCTTTGCATTCTTGGGTACAGGAACAATGGTGGACATCTTGAAGCATGTGGGGACAGCAGACTGGGATAGGAAGAGATTGAATATGTCCGTAAACACACAATTTCCTATTGTAGTCCTTGATTGTCTGTAAACTCTGCCACATCTCGTGTCTGAGCCGTTGAATTTCAACTCCACTTTGTCTCGATATTGACATTTTGCCTGTTTGATTGCCTTGCGGAGGGAACGACCACTCTGTTTGTATTCTGCCATATTCCCCGTCAACTTGCCATGGTTAAATGCGGTGGTTCGTGCTTTCAGTTTTTCGCAAATGTTGCCATCTATCCACGGTTTCTGGTTAGGGTAGATTTTAATAGTCACAGTGGGTACAACATCTCCTATACACTTCCTTATAAACCCACTCACCAAATCAGTATAGTATTCTCAGAGGCTACCCGGAACATATGCCAGTCCACGTGATCAAAACAATCTTGAAGCGTGGATTCCGATTGGTCAGACCAGCTTTGACTAGTCCTTAGCACGGGTGCTTCCTGTTTGAGTTTCTGCCTATAGGAAGGGAGGAGCAAAATGGAGTCATGGTCAGATTTGCCAAAAGGAGGGCGGGGGAGGGCCTTGTATGCATCGCGGAAGTTCATGTAACAATGGTCCAATGTTTTTCCAGCGCGAGTGCTACAGTCAATATGCTGATAGAATTTAGGTCGCCTTTTTCTCAAATTTGCTTTGTTAAAATCCCAAGCTACAATAAATGCAGCCTCAGGATATATGGATTCCAGTTTGCATAAAGTCCAGTGAAGTTCTTTGAGGGCCGTCGTGGTATCGGCTTGAGGGGGGATATACACGGCCATGACTATAACCGAAGAAAATTATCTTGTGAGATAATCCGGTTGGCATTTGATTGTGAGGAATTCTAGGTCAGGTGATCAATATGACTTGAGTTCCTGTATGTTGTTACAATTACACCATGAGTCGTTAATCATGAAACATACCCCCCCACCCTTCTTCTTCACGGAGAGATGTTTATTCCTGTCGGCGCGATGTACTGATGGCTGTATAGACGGGGACAGCATATCCCAAGAGAGCCATGTTTCCGTGAAATAGAGTATGTTACAATCCCTGATGTCTCTCTGGAAAGCAGCCCTTGCCCTGATCTCGTCAACTTTGTTATCTAGGGACTGGACATTAGTGACTAATATACTCGGAAGCGATGGGTGGTGTGCGCGCCTCCTAAGCCTGACTAGAAGACCGCTCCGGCTGCCTCTTCTCCGGCGGACTTGTTTTGGGTCGGCCTCTGGAATCAGTTCAAATGCCCTGGGTGGTGCGGACAAAGGCTCCGCTTCGGGAAAGTCGTATTTCTGGTCGTAATGCTGGTAAGTTAACGCCGCTCTGATATCCAATAGTTCTTCCCGGCTGTATGTAATAACACTTAAGATTTTCTGGGCTAACAATGTAAGAAATAATATATAAAAAAAACGAAATACTGCAAAGTTTCCTAAGGACTAGAAGCGAGGCAGCCCTCTCTGTCAGCGCCATTTTTGTGTGTCTTACCATGTTGGAGTGAGTATGCGTGTGTATGTCACAGAGAATGTGGAATCATTTCTGTTCTTCCCTCTGCTGTGGTAAGTCCCCCTTTATCGTATGAATAACATGCGTTTAGCCCCTACGTAAGTCATAGTGTATAGGCCTGTATGACATTGTGAATTGACCTTCAAAGGCACATGATCCATTTATGAGGTAAGACATGCAATAATAACGGCCGTTTGGCATTGAAGAGACGACTTTAAAGGTGAGTCTAGACTGACTGATCTACAAATCACCTTGCATCATAAATAACTATTGAATATTATTTGTAGATCAGTCAGTCACAATTTACCCATGATACATCACGGTGTTAATGCTCTCGAACAGAGCCTGGACGTCACGAGTCGTGTTTTGTTTTGTATTTTGATGCTTTAACTAATTAAAGTCATGTTTGTTAATCACGCTGCGCCTTGGTCTACTCCTTACCTCGACCTTGACAGAAAAACCCACCAAAACCAGACCAAGCAGCGTGTCCAGGAGCCATCGCTAGCAGATCTCCGTGGCAACCTCGACTGGGTCAAGCCTAGTGAGGAGCAGAGAGGGTGGACTTGGGACCAGTTGAGGAAGAGCTTCGACTGGGTCAAGCCCATTGAGGAGCTGAATGGCGGGAGTTGGAGACAGAGGAGCGAGAGTTGGGCGAGAACGATGGAGGCCTGGCCCACGGGGAGGAGAGACCCCCAGAAATTTTTTAGGGGGGGGCTCACGACGTCGGGGCAGCAGGAGGCCGCGATAGAGCGGTCCAGCGGGTTGGCAGAGGAGGCCGCCAGGTTACGGGAGTCACTGGTCACCAGGGGGAAGGAGGTTGTAGAGGCACGGCGAGAGGTACTGGCGTGTGTTGCCAGTCCGGTCCGGCCTGTTCCTGATCCCCACGTAGGGCCAGTGGTGTGTGTTCCCAGTACGGTCCGGCCTGTTCCTGCCACTCCCACCAAGTCAGTGGTGCGTTTCGTCAGCCCGGCGCGGCCCGTTCCTGCTCCCCGCACCAAGTCAGTGGTGCGCGTCGTCAGCCCGGTCCGGCCCATTCCTGCTCCCCGCACCAAGTCAGTGGTGCGCGTCGTCAGCCCGGTCCGGCCCATTCCTGCTCCCCGCACCAAGTCAGTGGTGCGCGTCGTCAGCCCGGTCCGGCCCATTCCTGCTCCCCGCACCAAGTCAGGGGTGCGCTTCGTCAGCCCGGTCCGGCCCATTCCTGCTCCCCGCACCAAGTCAGGGGTGCGCTTCGTCAGCCCGGTCCGGCCCATTCCTGCTCCCCGCACCAAGGCAGTGGTGCGCTTCGTCAGCCCGGCTCGGCCCGTTCCTGCTCCACGCACCAAGCCTATGGTGTGCGTCGACAGCCCAGCCCGGCCTGTCCCTGCTCCACGCACCAAGCCTACGGTGTGTGTCGACAGCCCAGCCCGGCCTGTCCCTGCTCCACGCACTAAACCTACGGTGCGCGTCGCCAGCCCGGTCCGGCCTGTTCCTGCCACCCGCACCAAGTCTATGGTGCGCGTCGCCAGCCCGACCCGGCCTGTTCCTGCCACTCGCACCAAACCTACGGTGCGCGTCGCCAGCCCGGTCCGGCCTGTTCCTGCCACCCGCAACAAGTCTACGGTGCGCGTCGCCAGCCCGACCCGGCCAGTTCCTGCCACTCGCACCAAACCTACGGTGCGCGTCGCCAGCCCGGTCCGGCCTGTTCCTGCCACTCGCACTAAGCCAGGGGTGCGAGAAGTCAGCCTGGTAAGGCCCGTTCCTTCTCCACGCACCAAGCCAGGGGTGCGCGTCGTCAGCCTGGTAAGGCCCGTTCCTCCTCCACGCACCAAGCCAGGGGTGCGAGTCGACAGCCTGGTAAGGATCGCTCCTGTTAAGTCCAGTCCTGCTCCAGCCGGCGGGGCCAGACTGGACCAGGGGCACTATGGGGGGTGTATTGGAGGGTGGTGGTCAAGGCCGGAGCCAGAACCGCCGCCGAGGAGGTATGCCCGCCCAGCCCTCCCCTGGTTTGTTTAGTTGAGGCGCGGTCGCAGTCCGCGCCTTTAGGGGGGGGTACTGTCACACCCTGGCTCTGGGACTCATTATGTTGAGCCAGGGTGTGTTCATTTCTATGTGTGTATTTCTGTGTTGGTGTTCATTCTAGTTTGTTGTATTCTATGTTTGCCTGAGTGACTCCCAATCAGAGGCAACGAGTGTCAGCTGTTGGCTGGTTGTCTCTGATTGGGAGCCATATTTAACTGTATGTTTTCCCTTTGTGGTTGTGGGTTTTTGTTCCGTGTTCGGTCATTGATACCGTGGACGTCACGAGTCGTGTTTTGTTTTGTATTTTGACGCTTTAACTAATTAAAGTCATGTTTGTTAATCACGCTGCGCCTTGGTCTACTCCTTACCTCGACCTTGACACACTGTGTGTGTTTGCGTGCGTCCGTGAGAGAGTCATTGCATCTGTTCGTGCGTACCTGTGTGTGCACATGTCTGGCAGACAGTTTATTTGTTTATGTTTGTGTAATTTTGGCAGATTGCAGTAATTTTATTTGATGTATTCACTTCCATTATTTATCTTCACATCACCTCATTCCTTTGCAATTTAGGCCCATCATAATCATCTAGATAAGGATATTAATATCATACTTTTGACAGTCACACTAAATAAACAATTAATTCACTGTGCCTGATTTAGCGAGGTATTGAAGCATGCTGTGTTCAATTTGTTGTTATTATTTTTCCCAGCCCTGTGGTTGTTTAATGATCTTCTGATGTGGCTGTTAGGCCAGGTTTAATTAAAACCTGGGTTGTTTGTGTTGTGAATTTGTGCAGACGCCTGTCAGATCGTTTTCCAGGCGAGTGCTCTTCTGAGGGCCGTCCGTAGGGGAGTTAGATCTGAGCTCAAGAACACATGTGTTGAGGTGGAGGAGCCTGAGGCCTCCCCCCTGGCCCCCCCGTGGTTCCTTCTGGTTCCCCTCAGACCCCAGGTAGGCGTCGCCCTCTGACAAGCCCCCTGACTTACTGACAGAACTCCCCCATGACTGCCCTGAGTACCCCCTCACTGCCTCCCACCTGGCTCCAGCAGAGGAAGTCATGGCCTGCTCGTGGACCATTGTGGCATTGATAGTGGTCAACTCTATCTGGCCAATACAGACTGGACAGAGGAAGAGCACTTTCTAATCACAAATGCAATGTTAACTTTCAAACGTTCAGCCTCCCTGTTAAATAACACTGAACTTTCAGCCTCCCTGCTAAATAACACTGACTTTATTGTAAGGCACATAGAGTTGCATAGCTGGGCTCCCTGCCTGTGCCATTAAACCCCTACAACTCATCCAGAACGCTGCAGCCCGTCTGTTGTTCAACCTTCCCAAGTTCTCTCACGTCACCCCGCTCCTCCGCACACTCCACTGGCTTCCAGTTGAAGCTTGCATCTGCTACAAGACCCATGGTGCTTGCCTACGGAGCTGTGAGGGGAACGGCACCTCCGTACCTTCAGGCTCTGATCAGTCCCTACACCCAAACGAGGGCATTGTGTTCATCCACCTCTGGCATGCTGGCCCCCCTACCTCTGCGGAAGCACAGTTTCCGCTCAGCCCAGTCAAAACTGTTCGCTGCTTTGGCACCCCAATGGTGGAACAAGCTCCCTCACGACGCCAGGACAGCGGACCCACTCATCACCTTCCGGAGACACTTGAAACCCCACCTCTTTAAGGAATACCTGGGATAGGATAAAGTAATCCTTCTACCCCCCCTTACCCCACCACAAAAAATATATAAAAAAATATAAAAAATAAAAGATAAAAAAATAAAATGTATTGTAAAGTGGTTGTCCCACTGGCTATCATAAGGTGAATGCACCAATTTGTAAGTCGCTCTGGATAAGAGCGTCTGCTAAATGACGAAAATGTAAAATGTAAATGGACATAGAGTTGCAATGCATAGAGTTGCAATACATAGAGTTGTAATACATAGAGTTGCAATACATAGAGTTGCAATACATAGAGTTGCAATACATAGAGTTGCAATACATAGAGTTGCAATACATAGAGTTGCAATACATAGAGTTGTAATACATAGAGTTGTAATACATAGAGTTGCAATACATAGAGTTGCAAAACATAGACTTGCGATACCTATTCAATGAACATTTCCAGAATACTTTCCTCATTCATGTAGCTAAAACAAATCAAACCTAATCAAATTGTATTGGTCACATACACATATTTTGCAGATGTTATTGCAGGTGTAGCGAAATGCTTGTGTTCCTAGATCCAACAGTGCAGTAGTATCTAACAATTCACAACAATACAGACAAATCTAAAAGTAAAAGAATGGAATTAAGGAATATATAAATATTAGGATGAGCAACGTCTGAGTGGCATTGACTAAAATACAGTAGAATAGAATACAGTATATACATATGAAATTAGTAAAGCAGTATGTAAACATTATTAAAGTGACTAGTGTTCCATTATTAAAGTGACCAGTGATTCCATGTCTATGTACATAGGGCCGCGGCCTCTAAGGTGCAGGGTTGAGTAACCCGGTGGTAGCTGGCTAGTGATGGCTATTTAACAGTCTGATGGCCTTGAGATAGAAGACGTTTTTCAGTCTCTCGGTCCCAGCTTTGATGCACCTGTACTGACCTCGCCTTCTGGATGATAGTGGGGTGAACAGGCCGTGGCTCGGGTGGTTGATGTCCTTGATGATCTTTTTGGCCTTCCTGTGACATCGGGTGCTGTAGCTATGGGATTGATTACATTATGGTTAATGTGGGATAGTGAACAGATATGCTAATGACACAGTCTTGGACTGCTGTAAGACAATGGGACAGTCTTGGATTGTTCTAATACAATGGGACAGTCTTGGACTGTTCTAAGACAATGGGACAGTCTTGGACTGTTCTAATACAATGGGACAGTCTTGGACTGCTGTAAGACAATGGGACAGTCTTGGACTGCTGTAAGACAATGGGACAGTCTTAGACTTCTCTGTTGCCCAGTCCAAAATCAACCTCTTACAACTATCCCTGGACTCTATGAAAGGAAAAGAGATGGGGGTGTCAACGACATGAAATACCCCTCAGCAGGCCAGATGGAGTTTCCACCATATTACTTAGAACCAAACCCATCCAATCCTTTCACATGTCCATTCTGGCATGGGCTAGGGGTTAGGTGTTGGTTTCAGAGTATGAGCCTCTCTGCCCAGACACAGGTGTTGACTCCTAAAACATCTCAGTGAGACAGAGAGGCACAGAGGGCCTTATCATGGAGTCTGTCTCCCTCCACTGACTGTGTTGAATGAGAGCAGCCTCTCTAGATCCCTATTTAGTCAATGACAACATGCAGAAGCGTCCTCTCTATCGATCTGATGTTGACTGCGGGTAATACTATCTGCCATGTTATTCAGCACGGGTTGTATAGTAAAGTTTCCTAAAAGGGTGGGAAATACATTGTTTTTTTTTTATCACCATTATTAACTTGATTATTACAACAAATTATTATGTTCTCCCAATATTGTAGATACGTCTACTCCAGATAGACTCTCACGTGTGCATTAACATTCTCAACATTATTTGCCAAGTCTTGCTTAAAACCCTTTCCTGCAGTCAAATTACCAAATCGCCCTCTAGTGGCCTCATGGGTGGAATGTTATTAATATTTTTCATAATTTCATAATTTATAAACATTATTTAAGTAAATAAAAAACGCATACATCCGTTTTTCTATGTCAAACAGTTTGCTGTATTACATGTCTTCTGTGATGTATATAAAGTGTACTATTGGGATGCAAACTCAAAATGTAATACATTTAAACTATATCTGACATGGTACAGGTGTCTTCTTTTTTTTAAGCCCATAACCATGTGTGTGAGGCGTATACTTTTGTTTCAAAGTGGATTTGTTTAAGACTACCAAGAAACAGTAAAAGGTAAGGGGAAATCTGCAATTGCTACATCCATTTTTGGACTCATAAATTAATGATATATACCAATTTGATTCTTGAAGAATATAACTTATAAATACCTCATGAGCTTTAGTTCAAGAGTCCTACCACATCAGAAAAAAATATAAACTTGTTTTACTCCAATGTTTGTAAACAATACAAATGTAAACATACACTATACAGCCTCAAAACATGGTTAAAACTATAATTGTTAATATCATGGATGGTCAGTCCTTGCATCCATAGCTCTGTCTATGAGTTTGAGAGTGGTTACATTTCTCCAGGCCTATCCCTTAGCCTTTTACCAAAACAGTCGGGGTAACCACTTTGTTACTGTGTCAACTGCAGATTGGCCCTTTAAGATAGAGAGGGTCAATTCCTAACTAGATAAATTAGTGTGTAAATCGTGCAGTGATGTCAACGGTAGATTTTGTTTTAAACGTTGTGACGTGTGCTCATACAGCAGGCTACCTCAGCCCATATCGATGACCTGGTTCCTGGAAAGACCCTATCTGTTACACAAGCCCATCTGTACATCAGCCTAGCATCAGCCATTGTGATCTATCATTACACACCTGACTGTCATCCTTACAATATTGTTCTATTATCATTCAATATGTAAGGATATGGATATTTCTACGTCTTCAGAAATGTTACTTCATCTCTCCATTTCTATAGCACATATAACATTGTTTATTGTATACATAGAACGTAGGTGTGCTCCTGTGGTCTGTGGTGTGTGCAGGCCTTCCCAGGCCATAGTTAATAAGTGTTTTGATCATTGAACAGAGCAACAGTTACCCCTCTGAGTGCACCTTGCCAGCCTGTTGCATCTCCTAATGCATCTCCTAATCACTTCCCCTATCCCTCTGCCAGACCTGGAGACTAATTATGGTTCCACGCCACACCTGGTGAACCGTCGCCTCATCGCCCCTGGCCCAAATGTCATCACCTGTGTATGAAACACCTACCTGCCCCCGCCTGCCCGCCCGGCCTCTCCGTTCCTCCTGTACCCCCTGGGCTTACCGTAAATTGGCAGGTCTGGGGTAAGGTCTCCTCACCGGTGCCCATCCCTAAGTGCCACGTTTAACCGCTTCAGCGAGTCTTTGTCATGCTTCGTTACATCTGGCCTAACACGGCTCGTTAAAACAGTGCTCCAGGCAAGGCTGGGACATCGCAGACGCACACAGGTGATTTTCCGGTGCTCTAAGTTCACAACAACCCTCCCTGTCTCTCTCTGGGGAAGCCTCTCTGTAATTGTTTTTCTTTGCCAGTCTGCTACAGTTAGTGGTGTTTTCCACTTAGAGGCCCTCAACTAAAACTGTGGCAGCTCAGGGAGAGAACGTCTTATGGTTGGCGTCTCCACCCACATGCTTTTCATTAAACGGTAGGGGGGATTTTGAATGTCAAAAAGAAGAACAGCTCATCCTTAAAATAAGTTAGGGCCTGTTTGTTTACCTGTACTCTAGAGCTAATGTGTGGTATACGGCTGCACATGTACAATATGCTTTACTGAAGTGAGATGCATTGTTGTACAGTGTTACAACAAAATCTGAAAGAACACCCTCTCTCTCTCTCTCTCTCTCTCTCTCTCTCTCTCTCTCTCTCTCTCTCTCTCTCTCTCTCTCTCTCTCTTTCTCTTTCTCTGCCAGGCCTCACCTTTCATATAATGGATTAATATCTCTCAGAACCACATCTCTGTCACAGGGCAACTAGTGCTCTCAATGGACTCAGTGCAATTGTAATAACCGAGTGGTACAAATGTATGATTTTTCCATCTGTAATGGGGACATTTTAAGATCACAAATATTTAGTTTAGAGTGATCAACACAACGTTCAACATATTTAGAGTTTTGTGACACATTATTTCTAGTGTTCTATGTGGGTTGATGGCCACTACGTGCTGAATGTTATGGATTATTCTCATGTCTGTTGATCGTGATTGATGCCAGACTGGAGGTCCAAGGACCAAGGACACACCGATTATTCACTGTTCCATTGAGTTGATGACATTCTGTGAACACTAACCAAGTTTCCATACAACCATTTCATGACGATAACTTCACTTACATATAGAAAAGTAATGTCAGGGCTGATAGAAATAGGAAATCCCAGTACAAATTCATAAACGTCGACCGACAATTTGTTCATTCGACATGGTGGGATCTTTTTGCGCTGGAAATATTAATTATGCGAGAAATGTCGATAGAAACACGTTTATGCTTAAATATTGATATAATAACCATCAGATCAAAGTAAACTTGTAGTCACGCGATTATATGTTACGTTGTCGGTCTACCACCACCACGTGGAATAGCATGAAAAGTTTATAGGCAGATGACATAAGTGATCATGAACTTCACATGGTGGTTAGTGCACAGTGATCATGCAGAGCTAAATATCGAGGGTAGGCTATTATTTGAAAGCTGGTGACATGATGATCGGTGCTTGGTTCTTGCTCTCATCCATATCTCATCACACTTTATCAGTGGACTCTGGGACAAAACCAGATCGGGCAAGTTTGCTATCCATCGCAACAGTTTTTGTGACAAAACCATTGGTAGAGTTAAAAATGCGATTGGAAACCCATTTAACTGATATATTTGATTCTGTACATGGGAACTTAACCACAAAAGTGATTTTTATGTGCAATACATCATCACGCACCGACTTTTATCCGCAACAAATTCGTTTGCTGGAAACACAACTCTGGTGGGATTTTTAAATATTTGTTTTTGGCAGATTGTAGAATATTTGCATAATGAACTGTCGCTAGCTACTGTGGGATTCTGTAGCAGCTAAAAAAAGTCACTGTCTTTTTGTTTTCACTTCCTACAAGCCACTCGTGCTGGTGTTAACAGAACATTTGTTTTGACTTCCTACAAGCCTATCGGGCTGGTGTTTACAGAACATTTGTTTTGACTTCCTACAAGCCTATCGGGCTGGTGTTTACAGAACATTTGTTTTCACTTCCTACAAGCCTATCGGGCTGGTGTTTACAGAACATTTGTTTTCACTTCCTACAAGCCTATCGGGCTGGTGTTTACAGAACATTTGTTTTCACTTCCTACAAGCCTATCGGGCTGGTGTTTACAGAACATTTGTTTTCACTTCCTACAAGCCTATCGGGCTGGTGTTTACAGAACATTTGTTTTGACTTCCTGCAAGCCTCTCGGGCTGGTGTTTACAGAACATTTGGTGCTGTCTGATTATGATATAACGGGCCTCTCTCCAAGAGGCCAGTTAGGTATCTTTTCAAGGTGTTTTTTATGTGTTCTATATACCTAGTCCAAATCAGTGTTATGTTGATGATATGACAGAATTCATCAATAGTCATGACAGCTGGTCAAGTTCAGTGTTAGCTACAAAACTTTTTATCAGTATCCTGTATTTAGACATAGCCTACAGACACAAAGTTATTGGCACCCTTGCACTTTACAATGGAGTGCAATGGAGCAGAATATTCAGTTTAGTCTTTTCTACAGTGGTTGAATGGCAATTTCTACCCTGTAGGAGCATGCAATTGACCATAACGTAAGATACATTACACAGTAAACAAGAATCATTACCTCCAACCAAATGAATTAAAATGTTGAATAATTTAGTCCAGGTCATTTTTTTTTACTTTAAAGTGAAAAATCTTTTTTTTTTAATTGGTTCTGAGCAGTTGTAAATCAAAAAAATGCATGTGTAAACACCAAACATGTTCGATTATTTTAGAAGTAATAGTGAATCATGCAAGAGTTCCAATATAAAGTATTTGATCCCCTGCTGATTTTGTACGTTTGCCCACTGACAAAGACATGATCAGTCTATAATTTTAATGGTAGGTTTAGTTGAACAGTGAGAGACAGAATAACAACAACAATATCCAGAAAAATGCATGTCAAAATTTTAATGAGGGAAATAAGTATTTGACCCCTCTGCAAAACATGACTTAGTACTTGGTGGCAAAACCCTTGTTGGCAATCACAGAGGTCAGATGTTTCTTGTAGTTGACCACCAGATTTGCACACATCTCAGGAGGGATTTTGTTCCACTCCTCTATGCAGATCTTCTCCAAATCCTTAAGGTTTCGAGGCTGACATTTGGCAACTCGAACCTTCAGCTCCCTCCACAGATTTTCTATGGGTTTAAGGTCTGGAGACTGGCTAGGCCACTCCAGGACCTTAATGTGCTTCTTCTTGAGCCACTCCTTTGTTGCCTTGGCCGTGTGTTTTGGGTCATTGTCATGCTGGAATACCCATCCACGACCCATTTTCAATGCCCTGGCTGAGGGAAGGAGGTTCTCACCCAAGATTTGACGGTACATGGCCCCGTCCATCGTCCCTTTGATGCGGTGAAGTTATCCTGTCCCCTTAGCAGAAAAATACCCCCAAAGCATAATGTTTCCACCTCCATGTTTGACGGTGGGGATGGTGTTCTTGGGGTCATAGGCAGCATTCCTCCTCTTCCAAACACGGCGAGTTGAGTTGATGCCAAAGAGCTCCATTTTGGTCTCATCTGACCACAACACTTTCACCCAGTTCTCCTCTGAATCATTCAGATGTTCATTGACAAACTTCAGACGGCCCTGTATATGTGCTTTCTTGAGCAGGGGGACCTTGCGGGCGCTGCAGGATTTCAGTCCTTCACGGCGTAGTGTGTTACCAATTGTTTTCTTGGTGACTATTTATTTATTTATTTATTTATTTCACCTTTATTTAACCAGGTAAACCAGTTGAGAACAGGTTCTCATTTACAACTGCTACCTGGCCAAGATAAAGCAAAGCAGTGCAATAAAAACAACACAGAGTTACATATGGGGTAAAAAAACATAAAGTCAAAAATACAACAGAAAATATATATACAGTGTGTGCAAATGTAGCAAGTTATGGAGGTAAGGCAATAAATAGGCTATAGTGCAGAATAATTACAATAGTATTAACACTGGAATGCTAGATGTGCAAGAGATTATGTGCAAATAGAGATACTGGGGTGCAAAAGAGCAAAATAAATAACAATATAGGGATGAGGTAGTTGGGTGGGCTAATTTCAGATGGGCTGTGTACAGGTGCAATGATCGGTAAGGTGCTCTGACAACTGATGCTTAAAGTTATTGAGGGAGATAAGAGTCTCCAGCTTCAGAGATTTTTGCAATTCGTTCCAGTCATTGGCAGCAGAGAACTGGAAGGAATGGCGGCCAAAGGAGGTGTTGGCTTTGGGAATGACCAGTGAGATATACCTGCTGGAGCGCAGACTACGGGTGGGTGCTGCTATGGTGACCAATGAGCTAAGATAATGCGGGGATTTGCCTAGCAGTGATTTATAGATGGCCTGGAGCCAGTGGGTTTGACGACGAACATGTAGTGAGGACCAGCCAACAAGAGCGTACAGGTCACAGTGGTGGGTAGTGTATGGGGCTTTGGAGACAAAACGGATGGCACTGTGATAGACTACATCCAATTTGCTGAGTAGAGTGTTGGAGGCTATTTTGTAAATGACATCGCCGAAGTCAAGGATCGGTAGGATAGTCAGTTTTACGAGGGCATGTTTGGCAGCATGAGTGAAGGAGGCTTTGTTGCGAAATAGGAAGCCGATTCTAGATTTAACTTTGGATTGGAGATTCTTTATGTGAGTCTGGAAGTTGAGTTTACAGTCTAACCAGACACCTAGGTATTTGTAGTTGTCCACATACTCTAGGTCAGACCCGTCGAGAGTGGTGATTCTAGTCGGGTGGGCGGGTGCCAGCAGCGTTCGATTGAAAAGCATGCATTTAGTTTTACTAGTGTTTAAGAGCAGTTGGAGGCTACTGAAGGATTGTTGTATGGCATTGAAGCTCGTTTGGAGGTTTGTTAACACAGTGTCCAATGAAGGGCCAGATGTATACAAAATGGTGTCGTCTGCGTAGAGGTGGATCTGAGAGTCACCAGCAGCAAGAGCGACATCATTGATATACACGGAGAAAAGTGTCGGCCCAAGAATTGAACCCTGTGGCACCCCCATAGAGACTGCCATAGGTCCAGACAACAGGCCCTCCGATTTGACACACTGAACTCTATCTGAGAAGTAGTTGGTGAACCAGGCGAGGCAGTCATTTGAGAAACCAAGGCTATTTAGTCTGCCAATAAGAATGCGGTGGTTGACAGAGTCGAAAGCCTTGGCCTGGTCGATGAAGACGGCTGCACAGTACTGTCTATTATCAATCGCGGTTATAATATCGTTTATGACCTTGAGCGTGGCTGAAGTGCACCCGTGACCAGCTCGGAAACCGGATTGCATAGCGGAGAAGGTACGGTGGTATTCGAAATGGTCGGTGATCTGTTTGTTAACTTGGCTTTCAAATACTTTCGAAAGGCAGGGCAGGATGGATATAGGTCTGTAGCAGTTTGGATCTAGAGTGTCACCCCCTTTGAAGAGGGGGATGACCGCGGCAGCTTTCCAATCTCTGGGGATCTCAGACGTTATGAAAGAGAGGTTGAACAGACTAGTAATAGGGGTAGCGACAATTTCGGCGGCTAGTTTTAGAAAGAAAGGGTCCAGATTGTCTAGCCCAGCTGATTTGTAGGGGTCCAGATTTTGCAGCGCTTTCAAAACATCAGCTGTCTGAATTTGTGTGAAGGAGAAGCGGGGGGGGCATGGGCAAGTTGCAGCAGACTATGGTCCCAGCTGCCTTGAGATCATTGACAAGATCCTCCCGTGTAGTTCTGGGCTGATTCCTCACCATTCTCATGATCATTGCAACTCCACGAGTTGAGATCTTGCATGGAGCCCCAGGCCGAGGGAGATTGACAGTTATTTTGTGTTTCTTCCATTTCCGAATAATCGCACCAACTGTTGTCACCTTCTCACCAAGCTGCTTGGCGATGCATTCCAGCCTTGTGTAGGTCTACAATCTTGTCCCTGACATCCTTGGAGAGCTCTTTGGTCTTGGCCATGGTGGAGAGTTTGGAATCTGATTGATTGATTGCTTCTGTGGACAGGTGTCTTTTATACAGGTAACAAGCTGAGATTAGGAGCACTCCCTTTAAGAGTGTGCTCCTAATCTCAGCTCGTTACCTCCTGAGTGGCGCAGTGGTCTAAGGCACTGCATCGCAGTGCCAACTGTGCCACTAGAGATCCTGGTTCAAATCCAGGCTCTGTCGCAGCCGGCCGCGACCGGGAGACTCATGGGCGGCGCACAATTGGCCCAGCGTCGTCCAGGGTAGGGGAGGGAATGGCCGGCAGGGATGTAGCTCAGTTGATAGAGCATGGCGTTTGCAACGCCAGGGTTGTGGGTTCGTTTCCCACGGGGGGCCAGTATAAAAAAATAAAAATAAAAAATGTATTCACTAACTGTAAGTCGCTCTGGATAAGAGCGTCTGCTAAATGACTAAAATGTAAATGTAAATGTAAATGTATAAAAGACACCTGGGAGCCAGAAATCTTTCTGATTGAGAGGGGGTCAAATACTTATTTCCCTCACTAAAATGCAAATCAATTCATAACATTTTTGACATGCGTTTTTCTGGATTTATTTGTTGTTATTCTGTCTCTCACTGTTCAAATAAACCTACCATTAAAATTATAGACTGATCATTTCTTTGTCCGTGGGCAAACGTACAAAATCAGCAGGGGATAAAATACTTTTTTCCCTCACTGTATTTGACTGCATCTGTACACTGCGTGATTAAATCTCTCTGCTCTGTGCCTCCTGCCTCTTCCCTGGAGGAGCTCAGTGATACAGTAACTTCCTCAGTGTTGTTCTCTCTCTCACCATGTTGTTTTCATTATCAGCTGAACAGGTCCTCCTCTGAGAGAGGTGCACCCTGGGACATCTTGTTATGACCCTACTTACTAAGCAAAGGTAGTCTCAGGGAGGTATTAGAGGAGAGGAGGGGAAACTGTTGCCTGGAGCGCCACAACACACCTCTCTACCTCTTTATCACTCTCCATCACTCCCCCTCCCTCCCTCCCCCCTCCCCCCTCCCTCCCCTCTCTTTCTCACAAAGGGAGGTATTAGTTAAGAGGAGCCAAACTATAGCCTGAGGCGACATAACACTCATTATTTCCGTTTACATCTCTTTATCTCTCGCTCTCTCGCTCTCTGCCCTCACATAGCCTGCAGCGCTAGTCTTAATGATCGGTTCCCCAACACCACAGCAGATTATTACACAAAGTGGGCCTTAATGAGTCATTACACAGGTTTACAGCGGAGACATGTGTTTAGAGAGTTGGGATATTGAGTTTTTTTTACGTTATGCCTCAGAGTGACCACAGTTTTTCAGTTCATCCTGTCTTTTACTATCTTCCAAGGGTGCAGCTGTGTGGAGAGATGAGTAGTAACGGAGCTAACGTTATCACTTGTTTGTGCGCTATGACCTGATACACATAGCCACAAGAAGAAAACAAGGTAGCTCCTGATTTGAACGGGGAGGGGTGGAACCAGCCATGACTAAGCATTTTTAGGACCACTATATAAGACGTCAGCATTTCCTGTTCGTTGGGCTCTCACTCTATCCACTTGGTTGTGTGGGTATTGCGACCAAACAGTGCGGAGACAATGAAGAGGTCAGTTTTCCTTTGTGTGACAGTGCTGTGCTTGGAGTTCTTCTGTTTAATCTCCTCCCAGCCTCAGCCTCAGTCCCAGCCTCAGCAGTGTAGTCTGATAGCGGGTCCCTCTGCCCTGCCCGTGCTACAGAGGGAGGGGGATGTGATGCTTGGGGGCCTCTTCTCCCTCCATGACATGGTGCTAGAGCCTGACCTCTCCTTCAACTCCAAACCAGCCGCCACACGCTGCACCGGGTGAGGGTCTGAGCTAGTCCTAGACTGCGGCCGTCACCATGTAAGGATTCAGTGTAGGACTCATCCCTCTGTCCTCTCCTCTCCCATGCAGGTTTAACTTCCGGACATTCCGCTGGATGCAGACCATGATGTTTGCCATCGAGGAGATCAACAGAGATGATAATCTGCTCCCCAACTTCACTCTGGGATATAAGATATATGATTCCTGCAGTACTCCTTACCAAGCCTTGAGGGCTTCTATGGAACTGATGGGGGGAGAAGGGGAGGGAGAAGGAGAGGGGGATGGGGGGGTCCTGTCGTGGCATGGTACCGGTGGTCATTGGGGATGGAGGCTCCACTCTGTCTCTGGTGGTGGCTCGCTTCCTGGGAGTCTTCAGAGTGCCTCAGGTAGGCAGACTGACCACTCACATCAACAGTATACACTAATCAAATCAAATCAAATTTTGTGCCGAATACAACAGGTTCACCTTACAGTGAAATGCTTACTTACAAGCCCTTAACCAACAATGCAGTTTTTAAGAAAATAAAAAAGTGTTTAAGTAAAAAATTGTATCAGTAAAAAATTGAAAATAGCAAATAATTAAAGAGCAGCGGTAAAATAAACTAACAGTAGGGATGCTATATGCAATGCAAATAGTCCGGGTATCCATGATTAGCTGTTCAGGAGTCTTATAATGGGGGTAGAAGCTGTTAAGAAGCCTTTTGCTCCGGTACTGCTTGCCGTGCAGTAGCAGAGAGAACAGTCTATGACTAGGGTGGCTGGAGACTTTTTAGACAATTTTTAAGTCCTTCCTCCCACTTCACAATTTTAAGATGTTACTAACAGAAGTACATTGAGGAGCTACTTTCTCCTCTAATCCTCTCTCTCTATCTCCTCTCTCTCAGGGATATGGGGCGAGAGAGGTAGAGAGAGGCGCAGCGTCGAGAGCAGAGAGAGAAGAAGCGAGATGAGAGAGCGCAAGATATAGTAGAGAAGATAGAAGCTAGATCTAAGCTCTCTCTCTAGCTCTCTCTCTCTCTCTACTCTCTCTCCTCTCTCTCTCTCTCTCTCTCTCTCTCTCTCAGGTCAGTTATTTCTCCAGCTGTGCGTGTCTCAGTAACAAGGCAGAGTTCCCAGCCTTCCTCAGGACCATGCCCAGTGACTTCTTCCAGGTGACTTCTCATTCCATGTAACTCTCTAACTCATCCACTTTCTGTCTCTGGTATAAATCGCTATCTAATCTGTACTCTAGCCGGTTTGGTAGCAATTGAGTGTGGGGAAAAAGTGAATCCCTGTCTGATTCCAGGTGGATGCTCTGGTGCAGCTCGTCCAGCACTTTGGCTGGACATGGGTGGGTGTGGTTGCCGGGGACGATGCTTATGGTCGTGGGGGAGCCCAGATATTTTCTGAGGAGGTTTGTGGGATATGGTGTATTATTTTGTCCAGTGTGGAGGAGGAATATACAATGTGAATGTGTTATGGCTTAAAGTGTCTGCTAAGTGACCATAGTATACCATTATAGGTCCAGAAGCTCGGTGCCTGCGTGGCCCTCCATGAAATCATCCCCAAAAACCACGCGGAGGGGGCCATGGCCTCCATCGTGGCCCGTATTCGGTCCTCCGGGGCAGGGGTGGTTCTGGTGTTTGCCCTGGAGCAGGATGCTGGAGCTCTGTTTGACGAGGCCCTGCGGCAGGGTCTGACAGGGGTTCAGTGGCTGGCCAGCGAAGCCTGGAGTACAGCCTCAGTCCTCTCCACCCCTCCCCGCTTCCTCCCCATCCTCCAGGGCTCCATGGGCTTTGCCATCCGCCGAGCTGTACACATCCCTGGGCTACAGAAGTTCCTGCTGCGTCTGCACCCCTCCAGCCAAGACGCCTCCAAGGACCCGTTCATACGCCCCTTCTGGGAGGAGATGTTTGGGTGTAGCCTGCAAGGTGTTGGGGGTGTAGGTGGTCATGGGGGTAAACCTCTGTGCTCTGGGTCTGAGGACGTGGGCAGTGTGAGGAACATCTACTCTGACGTGTCTCAGTTGAGGATATCCTATAACGTGTACAAGGCTGTGTACGCCATCGCCCACGCACTGCAGGCTATGAGGAGCTGTGAGACAGGAAGAGGACTCTGCCCAGATACTGGCGTCATACAGCCATGGCAGGTACTGGACTGGCACTGCTTAGCTCAATGTACTGACGTTTTAAACAAGAAAAATAGTTACTTTTAAATATAGTTTTGGACTGGCACTGCTTAGCTCAATGTACTGACGTTTTAAACAAGAAAAATAGTTACTTTTAAATATACTTTTGGACTGGCACTGCTTAGCTCAATGTACTGACGTTTTAAACAAGAAAAATAGTTACTTTTAAATATAGTTTTGGACTGGCACTGCTTAGCTCAATGTACTGATGTTTTAAACAAGAAAAATTGTTACTTTTAAATATAGTTTTAGACAAACATTTATTTTACTTTTATATATAATTTTAAGTAAGAAAAATAGTTACTTTTGAATATAGTTTTAAACAAGATAAATGGTTACTTTTAAACATTCTGAATGCACGCCCGATTGTCGCTGACTCTCCTCAGCTCCTGCATTACCTGAAGCAGGTGGAGTTCTCTAACTCGTTTGGAGATGAGACTAAGTTTGATGTGAACGGGGACCCAGTGGCTGAGTATGACCTAGTGAACTGGCAGTTAGGGGCAGAGGGCCAGGTGGAGTTTGTCACAGTGGGGAGGTTTGACGAGACCACCAGCCTTGGCAGGAAGAAACTACACATCCAGGAAACGGACATCATCTGGAATGGAAACCAGACAACAGTAAGGCTCTCATAAATGTCTGAACTTCTTCTTTGGAAAAATAAAATTGTATTTCTTAGAAAATGGGGAGGCAAAGAATAGCTGGAGGGAATGGATGCAACAGAGAACATTCATTTCAGTCAACATCATCCAACTATAATGTCTGTTAAATGTTGTTTTGTAAGAAACTGCATTTCATAGTTTCGTTTTCCATTTCAGATGTATTCTTTTGAATCACATGATCATAGAATATGGTCAAATAATACATTAATTAAGTCGAATTTGTATTATTATTATTATTTATTTTTTTTATCTCTGTTGCTCTTGTGTGTGTGTTCCTGTGCATTCATGTGGGTGTGTTTAATTCTGACTGGAGTAGTGTGTGATCTCCCTCCCCCTCAGGTCCCTCTGTCAGTGTGCAGTAGAAGCTGCACCCCAGGGACTCGGAGGGCCATCAGGCCTCACTCCCCCATCTGCTGCTTTGACTGTGTGGTCTGCGCAGCAGGGGAGATGACCAATCAGACAGGTGAGTGCAGTCTACAACGTGTATGGATGTAGAGAGTGTGTTGTCATAACTCAGCCTCACTAGAGAAATATGTATTCTCTTCTCCAGATGCTATAGAGTGTGTGCGCTGCCTGCCTGAGTTCTGGTCCAATGAGGAGGGCACAGCCTGCGTCCCCAAGCAAGTTGACTTCCTGTCCTACGGTGACACAATGGGTATCACTCTGCTCTCCGTGGCCCTCCTGGGGTCCTTCTGCACTGCCACGGTCGTCCTCATATTCGCCTGTCACCGCGCCTCACCCATCGTCAAGGCCAACAACTCTGAGCTGAGCTTCCTGCTGCTCTTCTCCTTGACTCTGTGTTTTCTGTGTTCTCTTACTTTCATTGGCCGGCCCTCTGAGTGGTCCTGTATGCTGCGCCATACAGCGTTTGGGATCACCTTCGTCCTCTGCATCTCTTGTGTTCTGGGGAAAACAATAGTGGTGTTGATGGCCTTCAGGGCTACACTTCCAAGCAGTAATGTCATGAAATGGTTTGGGCTTCCACAGCAGAGAGCCTTCATCTCACTCTGTACTCTGGTCCAGGTAGAAACGTTGTATCATCTTTTATAGACCCAGTTGTTCTCTTTGTATCATGCACCCTGGTTGGACTGTTAGCTATCAACATTACAATTATTTTCCTCCCCCCAGGTGGTGATCTGTGCTGTGTGGCTGGCTGTGGCTCCTCCCACCCCACGCAGACTGATGACACGTGAGAGTGCCAGTGTCATCCTCCTGTGTGATGAGGGCTCAGCCCTGGGCTTCTGTCTGGTGCTGGGCTACATCGGCCTGCTGGCCTCTCTCTGTCTCCTCTTAGCCTTCCTGGCCAGGAAACTCCCAGACAACTTCAACGAGGCCAAGTTCATCACCTTCAGCATGCTGATCTTCTGTGCCGTGTGGGTGGCCTTCGTCCCTGCCTACGTCAGCTCTCCTGGGAAGTACTCCACGGCCACGGAGGTGTTTGCCATCCTGGCCTCCAGTTACGGCCTGCTGACCTGCCTCTTCCTCCCTAAATGTTACATCATCCTGCTGAAGCCTGAAAAGAACAACAGGAAACAACTCATGGCCAAGTCTGCACCTGACAAGACGTTATAGTTGATCTTACAACTTCTATAACTTGGATCAGGGATGGGCAACTGGCCGCCCGCCTCCCTTTTGCAGGCCCGCGGATTACTTTACTGTTGAGAGTTAGAATAGTACAATACACAAGGTCATATTTAGAAATGTGGCTGTGCATCAGCATTTTCCTCTTGTTATGTCAGTCACTGACAGCCACTCAATTAACCCATGTCAGCTAACATTTTCTAGATTGGTCTAGCCAGCTATCTAAACTTGTAGTAATCATGGTCAAATTACCACTCTCACTCAGATATCATATTCAAAACGGAATATACTACAACCTATGGCAAAATGAGTAGAATTGCATGAAATTAGTTATAGCATTGCTAAATGTGTAGAATTGCAGAAAACTTGCTTTAAAACTTGTGTAGATATGCAGGAAATTAAATCTAAAACTTTTTCTCTCTGCTGTCAAGAGTGGGGCTGCTAAAATGTTTTGCTAGCAGGGAGGGGGGCCCCCCCAACAAAATGTAACTTAGGACCCTAAATAAGGTTAGGGCCGGCTTTTACTGCATGTGTGGGCATGAATGTGGGTAGGCAGACCCGCAAGCCACTGCGGCCACACATGAGTTCAGATTTTATGTGGCCCCTCCCTGATTTAGATTGTGTGGAAATTATAATGTAGCTTCCAAAAGTTCAATCAGGAAGTCTGAATGTTCGTTTAACGTTATCCAGGAAGCATAACATAATACCCATGAATACACACTTATCATCAGCATAGTGGGAATGAATACACACGTATCATCAGCATAGTGGGAATGAATACACACATATCATCATCAGCATAGTGGGAATGAATACAGACATATCATCATCAAAGTGGGAATGAATACACACATATCATCAGCATAGTGGGAATGAATACACACATATCATCAGCATAGTGGGAATGAATACAGACATATCATCAGCATAGTGGGAATGAATACACACATATCATCAGCATAGTGGGAATGAATACAGACATATCATCATCAGCATAGTGGGAATGAATACACACATATCATCATCAGCATAGTGGGAATGAATACAGACATTCATCATCAGCATAGTGGGAATGAATACAGACATATCATCATCAGCATAGTGGGAATGAATACAGACATATCATCATCAGCATAGTGGGAATGAATACAGACATATCATCATCAGCATAGTGGGAATGAATACAGACATATCATCATCAGCATAGTGGGAATGAATACAGACATATCATCATCAGCATAGTGGGAATGAATACAGACATATCATCATCAGCATAGTGGGAATGAATACAGACATATCATCATCAGCATAGTGGGAATGAATACACACATATCATCATCAAAGTGGGAATGAATACACACATATCATCAGAATAGTGGGAATGAATACACACATATCATCAGCACAGTGGGAATGAATACAGACGTATCATCATCATAAGCATAGTGGGAATGAATACATACATATCATCAGAGTGTTGTTCCAGAAAAACGCATGTCAAAATGTTATAAATTGATTTGCATTTTAATGAGGGAAATAAGTATTTGACCCCTCTGCAAAACATGACTTAGTACTTGGTGGCAAAACCCTTGTTGGCAATCACAGAGGTCAGACGTTTCTTGTAGTTGGCCACCAGGTTTGCACACATCTCAGGAGGGATTTTGTTCCACTCCTCCTTGCAGATCTTCTCCAAGTCATTAAGGTTTCGAGGCTGACGTTTGGCAACTCGAACCTTCAGCTCCCTCCACAGATTTTCTATGGGATTAAGGTCTGGAGACTGGCTAGGCCACTCCAGGACCTTAATGTGCTTCTTCTTGAGCCACTCCTTTGTTGCCTTGGCCGTGTGTTTTGGGTCATTGTCATGCTGGAATAACCATCCACGACCCATTTTCAATGTCCCTGGCTGAGGGAAGGAGGTTCTCACCCAAGATTTGACGGTACATGGCCCCATCCATCGTCCCTTTGATGCGGTGAAGTTGTCCTGTCCCCTTAGCAGAAAAACACCCCCAAAGCATAATGTTTCCACCTCCATGTTTAACAGTGGGGATGGTGTTCTTGGGGTCATAGGCAGCATTCCTCCTCCTCCAAACACGGCAAGTTGAGTTGATGCAAAGAGCTCGATTTTGGTCTCATCTGACCATAACACTTTCACCCAGTTCTCCTCAGAATCTTTCAGATGTTCATTGGCAAACTTCAGACGGCCCTGTATATGTGCTTTCTTGAGCAGGGGGACCTTGCGGGCGCTGCAGGATTTCAGTCCTTCACGGCGTAGTGTGTTACCAATTGTTTTCTTGGTGACTATGGTCCCAGCAGCCTTGAGATCATTGACAAGATCCTCTCGTGTAGTTCTGGGCTGATTCCTCACCGTTCTCATGATCATTGCAACTCCACGAGGTGAGATCTTGCATGGAGCCCCAGGCTGAGGGAGATTGACAGTTATTTTGTGTCACCTTCTCACCAAGCTGCTTGGCGATGGTCTTGTAGCCCATTCCAGCCTTGTGTAGGTCTACAATCTTGTCCCTGACATCCTTGGAGAGCTCTTTGGTCTTGGCCATGGTGGAGAGTTTGGAATCTGATTAATTGATTGCTTCTGTGGACAGGTATATTTTATACAGGTAACAAGCTGAGATTAGGAGCACTCCCTTTGAGAGTGTGCTCCTAATCTCAGCTCGTTACCTGTATAAAAGACACCTGGGAGCCAGAAATCTTTCTGATTGAGAGGGGGTCAAATACTTATTTCCCTCATTAAAATGCAAATCAATTTATAACATTTTTGATTTTCTGGATTTTTGTTGTTGTTATTCTGTCTCTCACTGTTCAAATAAACCTACCATAAAAATTATAGACTGATCATTTCTTTGTCAGTGGGCAAACGTACAAAATCAGCAGGGGATCAAATACTTTTTTTCCCTCACTGTATATGTCAACTTACCCATGCTCTCTCACCTGCTGTATTTCAGCAACAGTTTTCGACAACCGCCCACCTCCCCACCACTGACTGTTATAATAGCCTGAAATGCTCGTCATTGGAACTCCTTTCCCTAGAGTGCAGGGGGGGGGTTCGATTGCAGCTGCCCAACAAAGGCATCTAACTTTGAGGAGCATTCCTTGGAGGCCATGCTGCAAACTATTTAATACAATTCCATATTGCATTCTCTTTCTGTTCTTCATTCAGTTCAGCCTTTACTCGAGTACAGTGTGCTGTTGTCCCTCCTCAGAGCCAGTTATCTACCACAGGAGTGTGCTGTTGTCCCTCCTCAGAGCCAGTTATCTACCACAGGAGTGTGCTGTTGTCCCTCCTCAGAGCCAGTTATCTACCACATGAGTGTGCTGTTGTGCCTCTTCAGAGTCAGTTATTGTAATTAAATATTCTTCATCTTTACATTGATCCTCACTCAGATTGTCCTCCGACACCTCTCTCAGATCTTTGTAGCGTTTGACAGGTATCCTAATAAAATAAGAGTTATCTCTCACTGCAGGAGAACAAACATGAATTATCCTCCTCTTTCACTGCTGAGTCAGAAATCCACCCCTGCCTGCCTCCGGTAGCCCTGCAGGCTAGCACAGGCCAGAGTGATGAGAGGGGCCAGAATGATGAGAGAGGCCAGAATGATGAGAGATGCCAGTAATGAGTGAGGCCAGAGTGATGAGAGGGACCAGAATGATGAGAGGGGCAAGAGTGATGAGAGGGGCAAGAGTATTGAGTGAGTCCAGCCCTGCATGTGTGTGCATTGTACAATCAATAAGTGAGAGAGAGCCACAATATCATATTAATTTGTATATATCCACTGTATACTTGAATAGTGGCAAAGTTGATTCCTGTTTCAGTCAAGTCTTTGGTCACATTTGCAAAAACACCCTAATGATTAGTTGACTTTAGAGCCTCCCACAATGCAAGTAAAGGCTGCAGGATGCAGTTGGTGAAGAGCAACTGAAGAAACTTTCAGTCGCCTATCTTTTACTTCAAGACAGATGGAAACCACTGGCCTATCTTTGAATTCACCACAGATGGAAACCACTGGCCTATCTTTGACTTTGTCACAGATGGAAACCACTAGTGTATCTTTGACTACACCACAGATGTCACCACTGGCCTATCTTTGACTTCAACACAGATGTCACCACTGGCCTATCTTTGACTTCAACACAGATGGAAACCACTGGTCTATCTTTGACTTCACTACAGATGGAAACCACTGGCCTATCTTTGACTTCACCACAGATGGAAACGACTGGTGCATCTTTGACTACACCACAGATGGAAACCACTGGCCTATCTTTGACTTCACCACAGATGGAAACCACTGGCCTATCTTTGACTTCACCACAGATGGAAACCACTGGCCTATCATTGACTTCTCCACAGATGGAAACCACTGGCCTATCTTTGACTTCTCCACAGATGGAAACCACTGGCCTATCTTTGACTTCACCACAGATGGAAATCACTGGTCTATCTTTGACTTCACCACAGATGGAAACCACTGGCCTATCTTTGACTTCACCACAGATGGAAACCACTGGCCTATCTTTGACTTCACCACAGAAGGAAACCACTGGCCTATCTTTGACTTCACCACAGATGGAAACCACTGGTCTATCTTTGACTTCACCACAGATGGAAACCACTGGCCTATCTTTGACTTCACCACAGATGGAAACCACTGGCCTATCTTTGACATTCACCACAGAAGGAAACCACTGGGCCTATCTTTGACTTCACCACAGATGGAAACCACTGGTCTATCTTTGACTTCACCACAGATGGAAACCACTGGCCTATCTTTGACTTCTCCACAGATGGAAACCACTGGCCTATCTTTGACTTCACCACAGAAGGAAACCACTGGCCTATCTTTGACTTAACCACAGATGGAAACCACTGGCCCATCTTTGACTTCACCACAGATGGAAATCACTGGTCTATCTTTGACTTCACCACAGATGGAAACCACTGGCCTATCTTTGACTTCCCCACAGATGGGAAACCACTGCCTATCTTTGACTTTGTCCGCCCCAGATGGAAACCACTTGGCCTATCTTTGACTTAACCCCAGATGGAACACTGGCCTACTTCCTTCCCACATATGAAACCACTGGCCCATCTTTGACTTCACCACAGATGGAAATCACTGGTCTATCTTTGACTTCACCACAGAAGGAAACCACTGGTCTATCTTTGACTTCTCCACAGATGGAAACCACTGGCTTATCTTTGACTTCCACATCTATTGTTATCTCCAATGTTTTGGCATCTTCCACAAAATGCAGCCGCGGATCAGCCATAAAAATAGTTACAAGGAATAAGATGAAGTTCCGGTAATATGGAAAACTATTGAAAGATAGCTAATATGCATTTTTCTACATTGTAATAGACACGGTGCAACCTTTGGTAGGTAGGCTGCTGGCAGGCTTCGGCTGTGGTACAGCGAAGCCAAGTCAGCCCGTGCTAATGGTTCTCACAGGGGAAGTGAAATGAAAGGCTACAATGACTTTGCTTATGATCATGTACACCCCAAATGACATGTAACTATACTGTAAGTTCCTTGAATTTAATTTCTCAGGTGCCTTTTCATTATCTGAATAGACACTTGTGGTTTCTAGCTAATGTTACACCAATCAAAGCAGTGGAGTGTCTTGTCTTACGCTGAGGGCAGCGTCTTAGCCATAGGCTAAGCTGCGTGATAGTACATGGATAACGTACCGGAATATTGAGCCAGTCATAATGGGGTTCCATCTGTCAACTCGTACCCTTGTGTGTTGGCTTTGATGTGATTCTCGAAAAAAGTATTGAGCTTCCCTGGCAGTGGAGAATGTGTGTGTTGTGTTCTGGAAGGTCAAGATGAGTTTTGCCGGGTGGATGACTAAAACGATAACTTATTGACTTACATCGTTGTGCAACAGCGTGGGTAAGTTCTGGGCATCTTTCAGCTTGAACAAGTGGATTTCTACTGGTGTGGGTATTTAGTACAGTATGATGTAACATCTGCCTCAATGGAGCCATCAGATGTTGTTGAAGAACAGATACTGTATCTCCTGTGCTATTACATTACCTTCAATAACATCAACCTCATAGGCTTTCTCCAATTACCCCCAATTACCTGTTCCCCAAGTTATCCTCCAATAACAAGCCCCAATTAACACCATCCTGCCCCTCCCGTCCCTACAAGCACCCCCTGGTGGCTGTGTACTTGTTTTTTAGCCGGGGGCTCATTTTTCCCTATATCAACAGCTCCCCTTCTCTCCTCTTCCTCTCCCTCTTTCACTCTCACACTCTCTGAAGGAGATGACAGACTGACAGACATTCATCCTCTCTCTCTCTCTGTGTCTGTCTGTTTGTCTGTCTGTGTCACCAGGATCAGGTTTACTGTTGCTAGGTAGGGCAGAGGTAGAACAAGGTTTTGTGTGTCTATAACTGTTGTTTCATACATGTCTGGTGACAGGTGTCTGTGGTGTATGGTGTATCTCTTCATTGATAGCACTTTTTGTTCATGTCATTCTATCTACTCAGTGTTCTGTCTGTAAGGTCTTGGTTTGATCTCTCCTCCAGGTGACGGTACTCTCCCAGTCCTCGGCCTTGTCTCTCTCCAGGTGATGTGCCTGTGTGGCTGGCTGGGGCTGCTCTACTGCCTCCATGTCCCTGGGTCTGTCTGGGGTCTGGCTGGAGATGGAGGGGGGGCTTGTCGGCTGATGGCTAAGCCCGTCTCCGGCAGTGTTTATCGGGCAGGAGATGTTGTCATTGGGGGCCTGTTCCCCATCCATGTGGAAGCCCCTCTGCCAGAGCAGGAGTTCAGGAGCATTACGGGAAATGCTACATGTACAATGTACGCAGCTTGTGTGATAACAGCTTTGTGTCATTGTGTTTTCACTTGTGTACAGTGTATTCAGTTACCTCCTATCTTCCCGTTTCTTCCTTTCTTCCGTCTGTCAGTTTCTACCAGCGTGCTTACCGCTGGCTCCAGACTATGATCTTTGCAGTGGAGGAAATTAACCGTGACCCAACCCTCCTGCCTAACCTCACCCTGGGGTTCCTGGCTGCTGACACATGTCTGGCAGAGGGCACCACCCTGGGGGCAGCCCTAGCCATGGTGACCGGCCAGGAGGCCTCCGTGGCGGGCACAGAGTGTGGCGCAACCCCTGAGGTTCCCGTCATCATCGGGGATGCCCGCTCCTCAGCCTCCATTGTGGTGGCACAGACCCTCGGGCCATTTGATTTACCCATGGTGAGGCTTAGGGTTGGATTACAGGTTGGGATGAAATGATGACTCTCTTACACATTACATTTGAATATCTATCTAGATGACTCGCTCTCTAACATTTACTTTTGCTCACCCTCTGCTCTCTGTCGCTTAAAAATTATAATTCTCCCTGTCTCTCTCTCTCTCTCTCCCTGTCTCTCTCTCTCTCTCTCTCTCTCTCTCTCTCTCTCTCTCTCTCTCTCTCTCTCTCTCTCTCTCTCTCTCTCTCTTCTCTCTATCTCTATCTCTCTATCTCTCTCTCTCTCTCTCTCTCCTCTCTCTCTCTCTCTTTCTCTCCCAGGTGAGTTACTTTGCCTCCTGTGCGTGTTTGAGTGACAACTGGAGGTACCCCTCGTTTTTCCGTACGGTACCCAGCGATGCCTTCCAGGCTCTGGGCATGGCCAGGCTGCTGCGTCGGCTGGGCTGGGTGTGGGTGGGGCTGGTGTCTGGGGATGATGACTATGGCAAGTTTGGTATTCAGCTGCTTCTCCAAGAGCTTCAGGGATCTGGGGTGTGTGTCGCCTACTCTGAGGTCATCTCCAAGGTTTGACCTCACTCTGATGATCTGACAATATACACTTTTTTTGCGCTCTCTTTCTCTCTCTCTCTTTTACTCTTACCCCCCCTCTCTTCTAATCTAACAGAAACCCTCTCTCTGATTTTCTCTGACTCTCTTCCCTCTCTCTCACTGATGGTCATCCCCAAGGCACCGTCTAAGAGACAGATCAGGCACATCGTGGACACCATCAGAGGATCTACTGCCAGAGTGGTGGTGACATTCGCTATCACAAAGGATGCACGGGTGAGCAGTGACTGGTCAGAGTATTGTTAATTATTTGTTAAACAGCTGTAGCAGTGTCCTTGTCTCTTACCATGTCTTGATGCCCTTTATAGACACAAGCATTTCCTAATTGATAATCTTGTATTTCAGCTGAACTATCTTGTTCTTTTTAACCATCTCATTCTCCAGGCCCTGATGGAAGAGGTTGTCCGTCAGAACATAACAGAAAGGCAGTGGATAGCCTCAGAGGCATGGGTCACTGACTCTACTCTCTCCTCCCCTGAAAACCTGCCCTCTCTTGCCGGGACGATCGGTTTTGCCCTGAAGAAAGCTGTCATTCCCGGCCTGGGGCCTTTCCTAACACGCCTCCATCCTGATGGGGACTACCAGAAGTCTGATCCCTTCCTGAGGGAATTGTGGGAGGAGATATTTGGCTGTTCTCTGGGAGTTGACCTCAGCGTGACCCAGTCGTCCAGGCGACAGTGCAGTGGGTCAGAAGTCATAGGTGAGGGAGAGTTTACACCTAAAACTCTGTTTTTGTGTCCTGATTCCCCATGTTGTCTCAGTAAAATAAAGTGTCAATCCTAGGTGAGGGGGAGAGCCAGTACGCTGACGTGTCTCAGCTGAGAGCCAGCTATAATGTGTACAAGGCTGTGTACGCCATCGCTTACGCCATACAGGACATGTTGGCCTGTCGACCAGGGGAGGGACCCTTTAACGGTGGACAGTGCCCTGATATCAGGAAGCTTCAGCCCAGCCAGGTGACAATGCCATATTAATCTGTTTTCATGTTAACAGCACTAATGTTTCCAGTCAGCATACAGTGAAAACACTTTGTAAGGTTTGAGTACTAAAGGCCCACAGCCACAGTTGGTTCTATCTCTTAATACTGTTCCAATGCCCTTTTCTCTTTGAGATTGTTCATTATCTGAGGGGAGTGAACTTCAGCACTCCTGTGGGGGAATCTTTCCACTTCGACTTGAACGGTGATCCGCCTGCCTCTTATGACATCATCAACTGGCATGTGACCCCCGAGGGTACGGCAGAGTTCGTCCAGGTCGGCCATTTTCTGACCTCTGAGGGATCGGGCGGCCAGATTCACATCGACATGGGGAAAGTTGTGTGGGGTGGGGGTAGTGGAGATGAGGTGAGAACCATTCAGTTTGGTTTCTCTGAGGCAGAGAGGAGTGTGTGTGTGTGTGTGTGTGTGTGTAATGATGATGACGATGATGATGATGAAGATGATGACTGCATCCTCTCCATCCTCTGGTAGGTCCCTGTGTCTGTATGCAGTGCTGCCTGTCCCCCTGGTTCCAGGCATGTGGTACAGAAGGGGAGGCCTGTGTGCTGCTTCGACTGTTTGTCCTGTGCTGAGGGAGAGATCAGCAACACAACAGGTAGTCTATCAACGGTTCTGATTCCAATTCATATTTTTCCTGAATCCTGACTGGTCCTGATTTGGACTCCTCCTTCTTCTTCCTTCTCTATCAGGGTCAGTTGAGTGTATTAGGTGTCCAGAGCGGTTCTGGTCCAACCCTGATCATACGGCCTGCATCCCCCAGCTGGTAGACTTCCTCTCCTACAGGGACACCATGGGCGTCATCCTGTCCGTCATCTCAGTTTCCGGGGCAACACTCACAGCCGGTGCCCTGGCCACCTTCCTCTACCACCGTCACACGGCCCTGGTGAGTTGAATCATATGATCATATATAGAGGTACTGGACAGAGATGAGATTGTGTCATATAAGGAGGATATTTCTGATGTAACGCAGTCTAAATTATCTTTCTCTGTCTCATTCCAGGTGAAAGCCAACAACTCTGAGCTCAGCTTCCTGCTCCTGCTGTCACTAAAGCTCTGCTTCCTGTGTGCGCTGGTTTTCATTGGCCAGCCGAAGACGTGGACGTGCATGCTGAGACACACCCTGTTTGGTATAAGCTTTGTGTTGTGCATCTCCTGCCTGCTCAGCAGGACTGTGGTGGTGCTGGTGGCCTTCAGGGCCTCTCTGCCTGGAGAGAACCTGATGAGATACTTCAGCCCCGCCCAGCAGAGGATGGGTATCTCACTCTGCACACTCATCCAGGTGAACATCTAGTTTTCACTATATTCTATTGGAATTTAAAGGCCCAGTGCAGTCAAAAACTTGATTTTCCTGTGTTTTATATACATTTCCACACTATGAGGTTGGAATAATACTGTGAAATTGTGCGAATGATGATAATGTCCTTTTAGTGTAAGTGATGTTTGAAAAGAATGCTGAAATTCCAGTCGATTTTTGGTGGGATGGAGTTTTGGCCTGCCTGGTGACATCACCAGGTGGTAACTGAGTTCATCCTTAAAGTGGAACTGACAGCATTGTAACATTTACATTACAGTCATTTAGCAGACGCTCTTACCCAGAGCGACTTACAGTTAGTGAGTGCAAACGTTATTATTATTATTTTTTCATACTGGCCCCCCATGGGAATCGAACCCACAACCCTGGCGTTGCAAACGCCATGCTCTACAAACTGAGCTACATCCCTGCCAGCCATTCCCTCCCTGGACGACGCTGGGCCTTGAGTTTAGGCGTAAACTCTCCCTCACCTATTAACCACTTTGCAGATATGAAACAAACAGACAATCAAAAAAAAAAGCTGCAGAAAAGTACCTTAAAAAGTTTATCTAATGTTCCCTCATTAGATTTTAGCTTATCTTGCTCTGGCTAGCATTAGTTGTTGATCTTGTCATTGTTGATGTGCATAGGCAACTGAGGGAGAGAGAGCCTACCTGTTCATGGTTGTTTGATCAATAGGACTGTGAAGTTCCCAAATGAAAGAGGACTCCTGTGCTATTTACATATTTGCAGAAATGTATTCAGGTGTATTTTGTGGCTTTTGGAGAATGCTTTCTAATGATCTAAAGCTGTGCTGTTGCTACAGCCTGTAAAAACACAGTCCAGTTCAAAGTGAATGATGGCAGGCCCATGTGGCGAATGGCTTATTTGCAAATATGCCTACTGTAGCTCTGATTGGCAATGGCGCACCGGTCTTCATAAACTCCGGTCCTGGACAAGACAGATGTTTTTTATTAGGTTTCATTTTCTGCAGTGTCTATTAATTGTCCAAACGCCCGGCCGCTTTCCCACACACAAATGAAAACGGCCATATCTAAGTGCTGGCTTGTCAGAAAATGTTTTTTTTTTTTTTTGAAAGGTGTCGTATTCTTCCTGGAGGTGTATATGAAGAGATTTTAATAAGATTTCATTTAGCTAAAACACTGTCAGTTCCACTTTATACTGACACTCAAATCAGTGCCCCTGGAAGGGGGGGGGGGGGGGGGGGGGGGGGGTCTACAAAGCTAACATGTGGAATTGTTTTAAGATGGTCATATCAAGTATAATTTAGCTATTTTCTTTAGAATTTTAGTACTTTGAACTTTAGGTATAAAAATATATTTATTCATACATGGAAAAACAGACAAAAAAATCTATCAAAGTAAGTTTGTTTTAAAGTGTCTGTCCTAAATCTGAGTGATATAAGAAAGATCAGGAAATTATACATATTTATTTGACCATATAATAATAAAATTGGGGCACTATACTACTTCCATATATACTTCCATTCACTTTTTTGACCCGACTACCTTCAGACGAGTCTTGTGAGGCTTGTAGAGAACTAGAACTAAACAACCTAAATGTACAGTGTCTTGCAAAACTATTCATCCCCCTTGGGGTTTTTCCTATTTTGTTGCATTACAACCTGTAATTTAAATGGATTTTTATTTGGATTTCATGTAATGGACATACACAAAATAGTCCAAATTGGTGAAGTGAAATGAAAAAAATAACTTGTTTCAAAAAATCCCAAAGAATAAATAACGGAAAAGTGGTGCATGAATATGTATTCATCCCCTTTGCTATGAATCCCCTAAATAAGATCTGGTGCAACCAATTACCTTCAGAAGTCACATAATTAGTTAAATAAAGTCAACCTGTGTGCAATCTAAGTGTCAAATGATCTGTCACATGATCTCAGTATTTATACACCTGTTCTGAAAGGCCCCAGAGTCTGCAACAACACTAAGCAAAGGGCACCACCAAGCAAGCGGCACCAAGAATACCAAGGAGCTCTCCAAACAGGTCAGGGACAAAGTTGTAGAGAAGTACCGATCAGGGCTGGGTTAATAATAATATCAGAAACTTTGGAACATCCCACGGAGCACCATTAAATCCATTATTAAAAAATTGAAAGAATATGGCACCACAACAAACCTGCCAAGAGAGGGCCGCCCACCAAATCTCACGGACCAGGCAAGGAGTGCACAGCGGAGATTGGAGTATCTGTCCATAGGACCACTTTAAGCCGTACACTCCACTGAGCTGGGCTTTACGGAAGAGTGGCCAGAAAAAAGCCATTGCTTAAAGAAAAAAATAAGCAAACATGTTTGGTGTTCGCCAAAAGGCACGTGGGAGACTCCCCAAATATATGGAAGAAGGTACTCAGGTCAGATGAGCTTTTTGGCCATCAAGGAAAACGCTATGTCTGGCTCAAACCCAACACCTCTCATCACCCCGAGATCACCATCCCCACAGTGAAGCATGGTGGTGGCAGCATCATGCTGTGGGGATGTTTTTCATCGGCAGGGACTGGGAAACTGGTCAGAATCGAAGGAATGATGGATGGCGCTAAATACAGGGAAATTCTTGAGGGAAACCTGTTTCAGTCTTCTAGAGATTTGAGACTGGGTTGGAGGTTCGCCTTCCAGCAGGACAATGACCCTAAGCATACTGCTAAAGCAATACTCGAGTGGTTTAAGGGGAAACATTTAAATGTCTTGGAATGGCCTAGTCAAAGCCCAGACCTCAATCCAATTGAGAATCTGTGGTGTGATTTAAAGATTGCTATACACCAGTGGAACCCATTTAACTTACATTTACATTACATTTTAGTCATTTAGCAGACGCTCTTATCCAGAGCGACTTACAGTTAGTGAATAACTATTTTTTTTTTTTTTATACTGGCCCCCCGTGGGAATCAAACCCACAACCCTGGCGTTGCAAACACCATGCTCTATCAACTGAGCTACATCCCTGCCGGCCATTCCCTGCCCTACCCTGGACGACGCTGGGCCAATTGTGCGCCGCCCATGAGTCTTCCGGTCGCGGCCGGCTGCGACAGAGCCTGGATTCGAACCAGGATCTCTAGTGGCACAGTTAGCACTGCGATGCAGTGCCTTAGACCACTGCGCCACTTGAAGGAGCTGGAGCAGTTTTGCCTTGAAGAATGGGCAAAAATCCCACTGGCTAGATGTGCCAAGCTTATAGAGACATAGCCAAGAGACGTGCAGCTGTAATTGCTGCAAAAGGTGGCTCTACAACGTAATGACTTTGGAGGGGAGGAGGGGTGAATAGTTATGCACGCTCAAGTTTTCTAGTTTTTTTGTCTTATTTCTTGTTTGTTTCACAATAAAAAATATTTTGAATCTTCAAAGTGGTAGGCATGTTGTGTAAATCAAATGATACAAACCCCCCAAAAAATACATTTTAATTCCAGGTTGTAAGGCAACAAAATAGGAAAAATGCCAAGGGGGTGAATACTTTCGCAAGCCACTGTATGTGTTCGGTCATAATAGTGTGTAGCCCAAACTGTTCAGACGCTACAGAATTTGGCAGCTACAGACAGAAGTTGGCAGATCGGTGGTACAGACTTCAGACGAGTCCCGTGATGCTACAGATGTTTTTGTGAAAAAACAGATTATTGGGGTGTCTTATGATCTGGCAAACACCACTGTAGCTCGGCCACCTTCCACCGCAGATGTGGACGGCCACCATTGGCGGATGCTGTGGATTGAGATGCAGCCCATGCAAAAAAAACTGCTAGCTTAAACAGACAGATTTTTAGTTTTAAAAAAATAATGTTAATTCGATTTCCACGGGGGCGAGGACATCAACTTTGCTAGACCATAAAGAAAGAGAGCTCCGAATCTCTCAGCCAATAACATCTAGTTTTCAGTTTTCCCCTCCCCACTCAGACCACTCCCAGACAGTCCTAGCTAAATTCTTCATAACTTATTTTATCTGTAGCCTAATAAACTACATGGAGGACCACACACCACGTAATCGAGTGACTCCAAGTTTACTTTGATATGATGGTTATTATATCAATATTTGCAAATAAAGTTGTTTCCACCACCATTTCTCGACTCAAAAAGATCCCACTTTGTCGAACGAACAATTATCTGTCTGCGTTTATAAAATTGTACGGAAACGTCCTGTTTCCATCACAGCTGTCGTAAAAAAAATTATACGGCATGACTTTACTCGCTTAAAAACTGGATGGAAACTTGTTTACTGACCATATTATTTGTTGTTATGGTATCTGCGCTTGCTTTTTCCTTCCAACCCTTTCCCTTCCACAGGTGCTGATCTGTGTGCTGTGGCTGACCCTAGCTCCACCCCGACCTGCTGAGAGAGGGGGCAGAGAGGGTCGGGGGCCGAGAGTGGTCCTGGAGTGTGAGGTGGGCTCTGTGGTCGGCTTCTCTCTGGTACTGGGATACATCGGCCTGCTGGCCTCTATCTGTCTCCTCTTAGCCTTCCTGGCCAGGAAACTCCCAGACAACTTCAACGAGGCCAAGTTCATCACCTTCAGCATGCTGATCTTCTGTGCCGTGTGGATCTCCTTCATCCCAGCCTACGTCAGCTCTCCTGGGAAGTACACAGTAGCTGTAGAGATCTTTGCCATCCTGGCCTCCAGCTTTGGGCTGCTGTTCTGTCTGTTTGCTCCAAAGTGTTTCATCATCCTCCTGAGGCCAGAGAGAAACACCAAGAAACACATGATGGCCAAATAGAAACATATGTATTGACCACAGGAGTGTGATGTTGTGCCTCCTCAAAGTCAGTTATTGTAATGAAATATCCTTCATCTTTACATTGATCCTCACTCAGATTGTCCTCTGACACCACTCTCAGAACTTTGTGGTGTTTGACAGGTATCCTAATAAAATAAGAGTTCTCTCTCACTGCAGGTCCACAAACTTTCATTCTCCACCCCTTTCACTGCTCAGTCAGAAATCAACCTCTGGCTGCCTCCTAGACCTTGGGCCCCTGATCTGATAGGATTGGATGGGTGTAAAAGCCTATTTATGCTTGATCCGAAAAATGTGGTTGAAGGCATGGTGCTGAGAGAGGCCAGAGTGATGAGAGGGACAAGAGTGTCAGGGCTCTCTGCTGTGACAGGCTGTCATTCGATCATTAAACGTTCCTCTTCTGGAGCTCTAACACACCATGTAAACATGCCTGGATGTCCCCTGCAAAAACAAACTAGAATGTCAGCCCTTTTTCCACTTGGACGCTGCCGCCCTGCTGCTATCGATTAGCCAGCACTGATTGATCTGTTGCTGTTCCTGCTGAGGCGCTCAGACGACATGGAAGGATATGGGGCCCCGCAGAGGAGGGGTGTGTGACTCCAGTTATGGAAGGATATGGGGCCTGCCATGCCAAATAAAGTCCCCCAGCCAAAAAGTGTCCCCACTCCCCCGCGTCACAATGGGATTCGATTAAACTATTAGCGTCCATTGCTATATCAACGGTGTGATGACCTAATGATTCGAATTTTGGAGATCGTTTTTACAGCCTAAATGACATTCTTTTCATCCCTCTATGCAAACAAGGCTGATTTCCACGACAATTTCACTGTTTAAACGGGTTTTGTTTAGCTAATAAAATGAAAATATTACTTCAAACTACTTTTGTGTACCTTGTTAACATTACAACATGAAATCCATGTCTTAAACGTTGCTACATTTCGGAAATAGCTAAGAAAATGCTACTTACCTTACAGATCACAAAGTCAGCTAATTTCCACTCCATTCATATGCAAATCCATTTGATTTATACTCTGGCTTGTCTGGCTGTCATGTTTATATTTTAACCTACCCTTCCCTTATCTACACTGAAATAATATATAATAATACTATAATTTCAGTAGTCCTCTATTGTTATTCATTTTTTTCTATCTCGCATAGCTCATTAGTACCCCCATTGTGGTTGAATATATATGTATCTATTGTAAATCCTAGGATACAACAATGAATAATGTCAAACTAATAAATACCATCAAAGGATACCTTAAAACTTACAATAATGAACACCTTGTGAAACAGATGTTAAAACCAAACCTGGCAGTATTTGAGATTTTAATATATAAACTTTGATTTTTTTTTTGTTCAGATTTTCTGTACACTCACATGTCAATCATACATTAAAATACTGAATTCTGGTGTGTGGAAGATAGAGGAGGTGGTTGCTGTGTGGGCGGGAGGTTCTGCCTGTCACTTGTTCTCAACAGGCAGCCAGTCTTGGAAACGGGACTTGAAGAGGGAGACTGCAAAGTCCAGGCACTGCTGCTCTCTTTGTTCTGAGTGTTTGCTGTGCTAGTGTTTTTAGTTCATCTGTGTATCTCACATATTATGTGCCCAGCATGATAGAGCAAGAAAACGTTCTTATCTTAACAAGCAAACACACAGGTTACACTTTACTGGGAGAACATTTTATGGATTAGTGCAGTGTTATAAAATTGGAGATATGTACTTTTCAACAGTTTTGGTTGAAGCTGGTCCCCCTCCCACTCAGAGCACAGAGAATCAGACTGATCCGAACTCACTGGTTCTGGTGGATGGGATACCTCCTGGGGGGCTCGGGCAGTCGATGGTCCTAAAGTCATTTGGAGAGGTAAATTGAAGAGGTACATTTTTATAAGCTCAGCATAACTACCACTTCTTGCTTTCTCAAATGTCAACCAAAGCTTAACATACTTTGTCTATTGGGCTTCACTGAAGTGTAGGGCGTCAGGGCTTTCAGTGGTCGACCGTCCAACTGCTCCAACTGGAGAAGATTGTTGGCTTCCACCGAGGTAACCCTAGGAAGACAAAGAGAAAAATATCTGTGTTAGGGAAAATAAAACTAGCTTCAGGTTATTTTGTGTGCAAATGCAAATAGTTATTATCTGAGATGTTTTATATTCACCTTAACAGATGGTGACCCCAGCTAGGAGTGAAAGAGCAGCGAGGTTTTCCAGGTCTCGCCTTCCTTTCGTCCTTCTTCCAAACCAAGTCATTCGCCTGGATGTCGAAGCACTTGGTCCCCTTCTTGATTCTCCTCCGGTAGCTCTCCTTCTGTTTCTCCTGCGCCTAGTCGATGTTCAGTCTCACCTTGATTGATAACAGGAATAAATGCAATTATATGTCATATTACAAATACATTTCTTACATATCTCTTAGAGGGCCAGAAAATAAATTAACAGCGGACAATCATTTTTACCTTGTCAAAAACCTCCACATCCTTCTCAGTCCGTGCCTGAAGGTGGTCCTCGAAGGCGTTCTGATCTGGTTCGACAACTTCCACCACATCAGGTCGGTTTTCAGTGATCTGAAAGTACGTTATACAAAAATAGCAATAGACAAACAACCTCAACACTAAGTCAATCACAAATGTTAAATACTACAGTATATGCAATAATTGTATATACAATTTCATTGTTTACCTCAGTCAACAGCTACAGCTCCCATCCGTACTCGGTGGAGGCCTGGACGCTGCTGTTGTATGCAAAGAGAATTACCTTCAGGTTGTTCTCCCACTGTTCCTGGTACCCATCAAGGGACTTGCCCATGGCAGTCTTGAGGGTCTGGAGGAAGGGGTAGGAAAGCCATATCTATTGACAAATTAAGATATTGAAATATATAATATGTACCATGGAAAAACAAAAAACTTAAACAAGTTGTAAAAAATAAATAAAACAAACCATTGGTGAGAGAATATAACCTATAACATCCGTACCTTGCTCCAGCGTTCATGACCTTGGTCACTCAAGATGACCTCGGAGGTGGCCTCGCCAGTCTCATCCTTGATGGGTATAATACAAAACTAAAATCAATTTTTGGTTCCAAGCATCCTTTTTAATGGGTTACAGAAGGGAATTTAGAGTTAAGCACGTTCTCTTCCTTTACTGACCTTAATGGGTATTGCCTCCACCCACCCAGTCACCAGCTGTTGCCATTCCTGGATTTCATGAAGGGTCCGATGAGGTCCACCCCTAACATTTAAAGTGTTAGAGAGAAGATTACTTTATTCTTACCCGTATCTGTGTCATACAGTATGCAGATTTTCATGTTGTTAAGGACACTGACACACACACACATTCTATAACATTGAACTCTGTGGTCAAATAAAGCAACCATTACAAAACAACTTATCAGGGCAGAATTTGAATTGGGACACTTACCGATCATGTGCCATGGTGAAACAACTTTGATGGGCTTCAACTCCGGCGCCACAGTCTTCACCCTCTCAAACCTCTGGCAGGCTAGACAGGGTACTGACCTTTAAGCACAAAGTGACAAATTGAAACATTGTGTTCTCTCTCTGATATGACATTCATTGAAATCATAATAATTGCAGATATAATAGAATGTGATTGATAAACAAAAGGTTATTTCACTTGCCCAGCTGTCCACCTCCTTGACAATTCCCCTTCAGAAGAGGCAGTGGTTGATTTTGGCACTTCACTCTGAAATGGCCAGCATGCATCTCGGTCAGCACGGCCTCCTTCTCCTCCTTAGTAAAAATCACCCTCCTGTGTGGCTGGCCATCCTCCTGTGTGGCTGGCCATCCTCCTGTGTGGCTGGCCACCCTCCTGTGTGGCTGGCCATCCTTCCCCCGTAGGTACATGTGATTGCCTAACAAGCTGTTTCTCTCACTCCATTTCTCTCTCTGTCTTCCACTCTCTTCCCATCTCTCTCGCTCCCTCGCTCCCTCTCTCACTTTCATCCTTTCTTTCTCACTTTCTTCCCCCCTCCCCTCTCTCTGTCTGTGTCTGTCTAGCGAAGACACCTAGTTACGAGCATTTGGATTTACCATAATTGCTTACAACTATCCATTTGATTGATCAGGTTTAACTTATAGCTAGATACCCCAATATGACAGACATATGACTATATGTATAGCTAGCAACATGTAGATGACCAACTTGATAGATGGAAAATGGTTGTTGAAAAATTGTTTTACATAGCTAAATCCGTCCAGTTATCTAATGGAAGTGAACTGCTTAACGTTACCCTGAATTGTGAATTTCTCTGAATGTTGCAACTCTTGTCGAGATCAGTGGTGCCTTCATAGTACTTTGCCTGGTTGGAAATATAAAATAAAATCTCCTCGAGGGATGCCTTTCAAGTGCAAGCTACATACAAACAGAAAGCTACAATAACAGTTACAGTAGCTAGCTAGCTAACGGGACACTAATTGGGACACACATTTTCATTACAGATAACAAAAAACGTGGGTACACTTTCAGTTATTGTTAAAAGCTATGGTTACATAATGACACGAAACACATGTTTTGATTATAGTCTCTGACCATGTGAGTCTGAATACATCGCTCACTCGCGTTCTCTTTTTCTCTCCTCTCTGTGAGAGAGAGGCTGGAGGGTGTGTATCAATGCCTCGTTTTTCTGACACCAGTAAAAAATATCCAAAAGAGGTGCTGTTAGAT